TGGGCTGGCTGTTGTTACTCAAGCTCAAACTACACATGACTTCAGCAGGACTTCCAGTCATGTGTTGGGATTTTTCTTCTTCCCCCTGGTCTCTCTCTGTCTTTCTCTCTCTTACTTGAAGCCGTCGCCTAGGCTGCAGTCATGATTGAGAGACTAATCTGGGGATGAGGGTTGATAGAGAGGCATCTCAACCCTCTCCCTTCCATCTCTTTTCTATCTCTGGCTGCTACACGGGGAGAACGATAATGGGTACCAGTCAATTTCTCCCATTGACTCAAGAGTAGCTTAGGGGTGGTTTGGTGCTGGCAGAGAGAAAAGGGTTAAAACACCACCACCATCGACAGGACTTGTGGGTACCTTGCTTGAGATAAGAAAACACTGATGGGGAGAACAGGGAGGGGAATCTGATATGAATACTCTCATGCGTAGTTTGAGATTAATCGTCTCAGTAGTGATGAGATGGAAAGGGTAATATTTATATCTTATGTCTCCCAGAGCAGAGCCCTAGCATTAGGAAAAGGTCCTAGGGTTAAGCCTTTGCCATAACAAAAGCCGTCTTTGGGCATTCTGTTCCTGTGAAAAGTCTACACCCAAGCAAGGAGAGAGAGAGAGAGAGAGAGAGAGAGAGAGAGAGAGAGAGAGAGTGCTAGGCAACATCCCTTGGTCACCATCCCCGTCCCGCTCCAATTTGTAGAGGGCAAAGGTCAAGAAGGGCTGTAGCTTGCTTGGAGACCATCTGCTCTGTATGTAGCTCTCAGGTTCAATCTTCAGAAATTTCAGGTATGGGTGGGTGACTCCAACCATTTCTGTTTCTCTCAGTTTCTCATTTCCCCCATCTTAAGTCCACTTCTCCACATTTCCACCTCAGTTTGTGGCAACTCAAAAAGGGGGACTTTACAGTGGTGGCTCCCTGCTTATGAAATGCTCTCCCCAGGGAGACACACTTGGCTCCATCACTTCCAACTTTGAGTCACCAGGCAAAAACATTTCTATTCAGCCAAACATTTGGATAATTTTAGATATTGCAGCCTCCTTTAATGGGTGGCATGTGTTAGATCGGCTTTTATGTACATGAATGTTCTGAGATTATAGTTGTTTTAATTTTTGTATTGTTTACTGTTTGTAAAAAGAGAAAGAGACTAATAAGTGTAATAAATCATAATCTATGACTTGGATGGGCGCCTCCTTTTTATCAATTTACTCTATCAGTTGGGTGTAGATTTTTCATGTGAGCAGAAAGCTCATATAGGACTGAAGCCAGCAACCAAACCCACATGTCTGACTGACACCCCCCTTCATCTCTGTTTTCCATTAGTAGAAATTGCTGAGCAGTCTCCTTGCTATTTTGGGATGGGGCGGCCAGGGGAGGATGTCACGCTGAGTTCACAGCATCTCTCTGTGAGGCGCAACTGTAGGGTAGCTAGGAGCTTTCTTCTCAGGACATGAAAAAGGAAGTAACTACGGAGCAGCTTCCTGGATGGTGAAGGTTTCACAGAGTGTGATGGAGCAACCAGACTTCCTTTTTCTTTACCTGGAAGGTTTGCGGAACCACAGAAAAAGATAGCAAAAATAAGTTGGTATTGCATGAGCAGGGTACGAGAGGTAACCTTCCAGAAAAAAACCCAACCCTCAGTCTTGGGATCAAGTTAGGTAGGTAGCCATGTTGGTCTGCCGTAGTCGAAACAAAATAAAAAAAATTCCTTCCAGTAGCACCTAAGAGACCAACTAAGTTTCTTATTGGTATGAGCTATCTGAAGAAGTGTGCATGCACATGAAAGCCCACACCAATAACAAACTTAGTGCTACTTAAGGTGCTACTGGAAGGGATTTTTTTTATTTTTTTATCTTGGGATCAAGTTTTGCATGCACACCAGTCTGGGGTTAATTCAAGCCAATGCTTGACCCTATGACCTGTTTTCCAGGCCAACAAAAGCCCTGTCCAATGAGAGTACTCCTGAGGACAAGCGGAGTGACTTTCTGTCTTCTCTGGCCGCCTCCAACCTGCCCCATCATTTCTGTGATGAGGGGCAAAGGATCTGCAGGTGAACTTAAACCCAGAGCACTTCTTGCTTAGGTGTTTCATTTCCTACTGAGCTTTAGCTCTCCTGGAGCACTGTGAGCCTAGAAGTGTGTATGAGAAAGAGCAATGCATGCTGGGAATCTTCTCTCCGCAGGGCTGCCCTAGAGCAGGGCATGCTGGGAATTATCTTACTTAGCTCTGGCAGAGCGATAAATTTTGGGTTCTCTCTCTGTACATGTTCCAATGATCAGGCAGCCATTGCCACTGTCTTCCGGTGAGGTGGAGCCATTTACAAATATTACCTGCTGCTGCCAAGCACCAGCAGTTTTGACCCCATTTTACTGCCCCGCTCTTTCCCCCTGCCAAGATGCATGGGTTGATGCTGTTTGGATGCCCACCAAATGAGACATCTCATTTCTTCTTGAGCGTCTCTCTACAGACCTGAGAGAACTTTCAGAGAGCGCTGCCACCTCCTTCCTTCCACATCACCGGAGGCTGTTTTGAGTTTCCAGGTCTGGTATTTATTGTCTATTCTGACTGGCAGCAGTCCCACAGAGTCTGAGGAAGAGAAGGGTTTTTTTTCCAACAACTGCTATCTGATCCCTCCAACTGAAGGCAGAGCTGTCCTTAGGCAGAGGGAGGTGGCTGCCTCAGGTGGTAACTGTAAGGGGGCTGGGCATCAGAAGCAAAGCCTTGAAGGAGAGGGCTGTCACTCGGTCTGCCCAGCAACCTTCTAAACTAGCCTGTCGCCTTCAGGCACAATGAAGGATGCTTCCTTATTGCCAATATTGAAGAAATATTTAACTGTCAGTTGAGCCAGTTTCTGTATGTGAAAGTTGTTGTGGGCTAGCCCTTTGGAGATTTTATCTCCAAGGTTTTAAAAGGCACATGCTCCCCACCCCTTTGTAGTTTGATGCTTTGCTCTGGATCATGAACAATAGGTTAAAAGGTAAGTAAAGGACCCCTGGATGGTTAAGTCCAGTCAAAAGCAACCATGGGGTTGTGGCGCTCATTTCGCTTTCAGGCCGAGGGAGCCGGCGTTTGTCCACAGACAGCTTTCCGGGTCACGTGGCCAGCATGACTAAGCCACTTCTGGTGCAATGGGACACCGTGACGGAAGCAAGAGCCCACGGAAACGCCGTTTAGCTTCCCGTAACAAAGGTACCTATTTATCTACTTGCACTGGCATGCTTTCAAACTGCTAGATTGGCAGGAGCTGGGACAGAGCAATGGGAGCTCACCCTGTCATGGGGATTCAAACCACCGACCTTCGCACTGGCAAGACCAAGAGGCTCAGTGGTTTAGACCACAGTGCCACCCACATCCTCATGAACAATACAATCAAGGTGAATCACATATTCATGGCAAGTCTGCCTGTCAGTCACAGACACCTGCAAACACATGCCATCCAGCTCCAGCTCCAAAAGTTGGCATTTCATGGGAATGCTGGGGCGGGGGACCTCTGAGTAATCTTGTTTTAATTTGTTTGTGGCAAAACATCCTAAAAGTAAACAGCTGCAGGTTTTTTGGGCATCAGCCCTCTATGCAATGACACTTTCTTATAAACAGTGAGAGACCCTAGGAAAGCTTTCTCTTGTGCACTAGCGGTCTTCCCCCTTCCCTTCCATAACAGCTGGAGGGGGCTCCGGACTTTGCTCAGGCAGCTGCACCAAAGCTTTCCTAGCTTTAGATATCACCCTTATTTATCATTGCATTTATATCCCACCAGGAGCTCAAGGTCACATGCACAGTTCTCCCTCCCCACTATTTTTTCCCTTCACAACAACCCTGTGAGGTAGGTTAGGCTGAGAGACTGTGACAGGCCCAAGGTCATCCAGTGAGCTTCATGCCACACTGAGGTGTCAGGGACTGTTCCCATGTCCTTCCATGTGCAAAATGTGCCGTGTGTTGTTCTAAGACCCCTTATTCCCCTCACAGAGCTACAATTTCCAGAGTGGTTTAATAGTCAATCCCTCTTTCCAGGGAACTCTAGCTCCATGAGGGTAATAGGACTCTCCTTATGACTCTCAGCACCCTTAACAAATTACAGCTCCCAGAATTCTTTGGGGGAAGCCCTGGCTGCTTAAAAGTGGTATCATAGTGCTTTATATGGATTGTGTGAATATGACCTTAGACAATCTCCATTACCGTTTACTCCAGCTCCAGTGTGTTGCTGATTGTAATAATAAAATTTAAGGTCTTATATATATAATAAATGTTCATAAATGTACCAACCAAGCACGTACATAGATCAGCACAGGAAGACCAACCTGAAACCATTTTGACTCCCAAACTGACCAAATGTTTTCTCTGCAAGGAGGGAGGGGGTCAGGGAGCCTTCCCATTGTCTCAGAATTGGGAAATCACTATCTCAAAGGAATGGGCAGACTACCAGGAAAGGCAATCAGATAAGGCATTATCAGATAACCTGACAGACAGGAAAAGCAACAACATTCAAATGTCTGTTGTAGACCACCTTTTCTGTGATGTAGGTATGGTGTTTGTGGGGGGTGGTCTTGGGTTACACATGGGTTACACCCCTTCTGTGATGTATGTTTGATGCATAGAGGGGTGGTCTTGAGCTCCAGGGCTGGGAATTTAAAATGTCTATATAAGGGCAGGCACACCTTTGTTCTGGGTCCTCCTCCTTTCCTGCGTGTGAGGGGAGCACCCTGTTGCAACAGATCAATAAAGATCAAACTTACTAGCTGCTTTGCTTCTCAATATTCTCTGGTTGGCCTTTGTTATTTTCTCTGACTGATGGAGAACCTACAAAGGGCTCTTGTGTCCCCCATAAGGGAATAAGGGCAGATTTTTGTTTATTACACTGGTGATGATGTCTGAACACACATGGCATTGACCCCAACCCATGTGCATCCTGCAGTTTGCTTGGAAATACTCTATATCACAGAATCATTGTGTTGGAAGGGACCCTGAGGATCATCTAAGTCTAACCCCCTGCAATGCAGGAATATGCAGTTGTCGCATACGGATGATCCAACCTGCAACCTTGGCATTATAAGCACCATGCTCTAACCAACTGAGCTATCCAGGCTGACTCGTGTCTGATGTGTTTTCCCTCACACCAGCTTCCATCTGATTTGAAAATGTCAGCCACAGTTAAGCTAAGGTGTGTACATTTGAAACACCCAATGAACAAGCGCCGAGGACAACTTCAATGAAGGAAGTTCAGCTCAACAAAACAAATTAGGTAATGCACAGCGAGTGAAGACATCCTTGACTTTCTCTCCGGTACGTATAGCAACATTAAAAATAGAAACTCAAAATGCAGTGGGGGGAAACAGAGTTATGTTTTAAGTTACAAATGTGTGCATAGCCTCAGACTGCAAGCAGACCTCATAGCTCTAACATGCAGCCTAATCTTCAGCTATTACAGGAACAGGAAAGAGGAGCTGCTATCTAGTTTGACTGCCTATTCAATTTAGCTGCATTATCAGTCAAATTTGATAGCGGCTTCGGTTTCCTGTGAGAGCTGTCAAAAGGAGGTTTGCTTTTCTAGGGTCGTCCTTATCTGCATTGAATTACATCTGACAGTTTATACTTGTAAATCTGTAATGCTTGAAACGATGGTGTGTTTGTGACACACTCCTTGAAATAAATTTTAAAATTGAAATGTTGAAATGTTAAAATAAAAATAATAAGCACTCTAGCAGAGAGCCCGAGTCCGCTCTCTCCAATGCATTCATTATGTAATGGAACAGCAGTATCGCCTCTTCCATAAAGTATCCGAGCGAACGAAGGGGCTGCTGGATCAATGGGACATACCAAACATTACTAACACAGAGACACTCCTGTCCTGGTTGTTCATTTGGTGTACGTTGCATTTGTTGAATCTACAACTGCCGCCTTGTGTTGGCACCATAGTTTTAGTAAAATTACCAAGTGTTACTTTGGCCCCATCTGCCCAACACACTGAAAACAGTGTCATACTACTTTAAAGAGTCATAGCTTCTCCTCAAAGAATCCTGGGAACTGTAATTTATTCTGGGCAGTATAATAATAATAATAATAATAATAATAATAATAATTTGTTACTTATATCCCGCCCATCTCACCAGGCCTCCCCAGCCACATTGGGCAGCTTCCAACAGGATATTGAAGACACAATAAAACATCAAACATTAAAAAGTTCCCTAAACAGAGCTGCCTTCAGATGCCTTCTAAAAGCCAGATAGTTGTTTATTTCCTTGGCATCTGATGGGAGGGTGTTCCACAGAGCGGGCACCACCACTGAGAAGGCCCTCTGCCTGGTTCCCTGTAGCTTCACTTCTTGCAGGGAGGGAACTGCCAGAAGGCCCTCGGAGCTGGACCTCAGTGTCCAGGCTGAACGATGGGGGGGGGGAGGGAGACGCTCCTTCAGATATACTGGTGTTGAGAGTTGCTAGGAAGCTCCTATTCAGAAAGCTGCAACCCTCAACATTTGCCAGGGAACTGTTAAACTGTTCTGAGAACTGTAGCTCTGTGAGGGGAACAAAGTCTCCTAACATCTGTCAGCACTCTTAAGAAACTCCAGAACTCAGAATTCTTTGAGGGAAGCTAGGACTTTTTAGAATGATGCTGCTTTTAATGTATAGAGCAGAGGGGGGTTGTACTATATCTTTCAGACAGCTTTGCCTCCTTGGAGGCCTGATTGTCATAGAATCGTAGAGTTGGAAGGAACGTTAGGGTCATCTAGTCCAACCCCCTGCAACTCAGGAGTTTCCTTACAGGATATGTACAATGCAGACACGTTCAGCAACATTTGCTATGTGGGTGGGTGCTTACGGGGAGGGGTGAGCTAAAATGAAACGTGCAAGAATTGTCTCTGTATGTGTGATATCTGGAGGGTTGGACCTTCCCCAGCCCATAACTAAGAGCAGCTAGGGGGAATTTTGCAAAAAAAAAATTCTTAAAGAAACCAATTACAGAATAAATCAGGCAAATGTGCTTTCATTCAAGTTGCAGAATCCAGCTTTTCCTTGTTGCAGAAGGAAAAAAAAACACGGAATAAATCAGGCAAATGTGCTCGCATTCCGGTTGCAGAATTCAGCTGTTTCGTGTAGCAGAACTTGGCTGAACTTTTGCAAAGAGTGCACATCCAGCCCTGCCCACTGCCGACTCTGCAAACCCGCGCTCTACTACAAAAGGAACAGCTCACTCCTGAGAGAAAGAATTCCTCTTCAAGACAAGCATCGGGTGAAATCTCTGTCTCCCATGAATCATTACACCCTGCAGCTTTAGGAGAGCAATTGGATATTTTCTTTCTTTTTATTGATGCCTCGCCTTGCTTCCACAGAACTCTTCATTAGAGGGCTTCCTGCCTTTCCTGGTGCGTCAATTGGCCGCTGTTATCTCGGTCTACAAGCAGAGCTTCCCAAACACACACCAGCCTCTGTGTTCCCCCCTCTTCCACGCAAAATGAAGTAAACATATCACCGAGTTCCCCTTTTCATCAGGAGCTAATCTTTGTCTTGGCCAGAGACCAAGGTCTTAGCCAGGCGAGGAAGACAAGCAGCAACCAAGAAGTCTCCAGTTTCATGCACAAGGACACCAACGAAGGACCATAGAAGACCAGAGTCCTGCAGCCTCTGACAGGTAAGGGTTGGGTCCAAGATGCTTCATCTCCTTGGACATTGTCCTGCTAGAGCTTACATTTTCAGATCAGATGGAAGCTAGTGCGAGGGAAAACACATCACAATGGTCTTTCTCGTCTCTGCGGCTGTTCCAGTTGCTTTGGTCTTTTAAAGCAAGGTAAATGTGCTTTTATCGTCCATCTGGTGAGATTGTTTCTTCCCTGCATAGATTGCATCTCTGTTGTGGTCTGTGGCCACCAACATTGTGCTCTGTCTGCATTGTGGTTTGCATCGCAATGTGTGTCATATTGGCATCCCAATGTGATTTAGGTGTGTGGCCTCAGCGGTGTGCTTAGGATGGAGTGTTTGCCTCTCACTTTCCCTGTATGTGGTTCATACTTTCGTGTAGAGAAAGCTCAGCTGAGTGGAGGCAGCAACAAGGTCCGGGGTTCCAATCCTGCCATTCCCAATTAAAACAACCTCATATGGCGGAACTGGGAAGGATCTGTGCCAGAGACAGTGGGGAGCCATAGGCTGAATGAACACATATATTTAAAGCACCGCACCACCAAAGAATCCTGGGAATTGTAGTGTTTGAAGGGTGCTGAGAATTCTAGCTCTGTCAGGGTTAAACTACAGCTTCCAGGGCTACTGGGGAGGTGCTTTAAATGTACTTTAAATGTATGATGTGTACGCAGCCTAAGTCAATCAAAGCAGATGGATATTTCCCACTACTCTAGTAACAGAGGCACTCCCTTTTTCTGGGAAAAGAAAGATACCATTTGGCAAGGTGAGACAGCCACTTCAGGTGGCAGATTTTTTCCTCCACTTTTCTTCCTGAGGCCCCTCCCTCCCAGTCATTTCCCTCTGTTATCACGAGTTCTCCACATTTCCACATCAGTATGTGATTAAAACAAAAAACTTCTAAAAACCCAACAGCGTTTTAGTGTGAATTTCACTCAGTAGACACTTTCCCCCCCTAACAAAGTCATTTTGCCTACTATAATGGATTTTGATATTTGGTGTTCATTAATCTCTGCATTTGCACACACACCCTTATCCTAGCGTATGCATTTCTGTACGCATTACTTGCCTGAAAAACTGCATTGCAAAATTCAGATAAATTTCGAAGGATGGTAGTGTTTGGGTTTGTATGTTGTTTATGAAAATGCAGATTAGGTAGGCTCATCTTGAAATGTGAGCTGCATTGGTTTTCTGGGTGAGGACGTAAATTCAGTTCACATTTACAGGCAAATTGTATCAAATTTGCACATTGTGAAACAATACGAAAAACAAAATGCAGCTCTCCTTCTAGATATGCACTTATATGAATTTTGCAATGCAGTTTTTCAGCCAAGTAATGTGTACAGAAATTACCCGCTCTAGATCGCACAGCTAATTCTCCCCTGGTCTCCTCGCTGGCCCAAATAGGACTAATTTAGCCAGCTAGCCCTGGTGATCATCTAATGTTTATTGGATGGATTTTCCCCCTAAATTGATTTTTGAATTCTGAATTTATTGTTATTCACGTTTTATACTGTATTTTATGCTGTTTTTTGTTGCATCAATTAAGCGTTTTAAATTTGTTGTTAGCCACCCTGAGCCCGGTTTTCTGAACTGGGAAGGGCGGGGTATAAATAAAAATTTTATTTATTTATTTATTATTATTATTATTATTATTATTATTATTATTATTATTATTACAAAGGCCATGCAACATAGCAAGTGAGAGGAAGGGAGAGAAGTCTCTCATCCAACTTCCTTTTCTGGTCCTGGGGTTTGCTGCTTTTTGGGGTATTGGACTGCATGCAGTCCCTGGGAAATGCAGAAGCCCTTCAGATGATGGAGGGCTGTGGGCACGGGAGGGGAGGGGAGACCTTCCTCCTTCTTGCCATGATTTGTTCCTGCTCCTCAAAGTTCCTACCTAATGCAGAGAGGGGTTGAGGAATTGGCAAGTGGGGAGGGGCAATTTGGAGAAATGAATCTGAGGCGTGGGCTGCATTTTGATTGGCTTTCATCGCTTGACAGGCAAGCTTGAATCCGTGAAGAGTTCACTCAGCATTCGTTCGCAAGGATAATTTTTTCTTTCTTTCTGCTTCTCTCTTCTCTTTTTCCATCTTTTTTTAAATAATAAAAAAAACCATTTAAAAAAAGTCTCTTTCTCAAGTTACCTACAGCAGGGGCAGCTAATCTGTGGCCCTGCAGATGTTGCTGGGGCACAAGTCCTCTCCTTTCGAGGTTCACATACCTGCCTCAGGAACACCTGACTTCCCATTTCTCTCTCTTTTCGAAGGTTCCATCATGGACGTCAACGCCACTGCCCTGTGGCCTACCAGTGTCTCCTTGCAGCTGCCTTCCAAAGCTAGAAGCGAAGAGAGCAAAATAATGGACGCGATCCAGATCTTCTTCTACAGCGTGGTTTTCCTGCTTGGCTCCCTCGGCAACGGGACCGTGATCTGGATCACAGTGCGCCAGGTCTTACGTACTGTCAATTGTGTTTGGTTCTTCCACCTAGCCCTGGCCGACTTTCTGTTCTCGGTCAGCCGGATAGTGCCACTGCTGAAGAACGCCTTCTACGAGGGGTGGCCCTTTGGGAGCTTCCTGTGCCAAGCCAACAGCTTCATCAAGTACCTCAACATGTTCTGCAGCGTCTTCCTCCTGGCTGCTATCAGCTTGGACCGAGCAGTTTCCGTGTCCTACCCAGTGTGGTTCAAAAACCACCGGGGGCCCCGCATGGCGTGGCTGGCTGCTGCTGGGGCCTGGTTTGTGGCTACTGCCGCAAGCCTCCCCTTCTATCTTTACCGAAGAGTGGTAGCAGAGAAAGGGAGCACCAAGTGTTCCCTCGCCCTGGGGGACCAGGTTTCAGTGAAGTGGGCCTTGTATCTTCTGAGGTTGGTCTGTGGGTTCCTGGCTCCCTTTGCCATCATTGTGGTCTGCTATGGGATCATCACGGTGAAATTGAGGAAGCGACAGACCACCTTTCGCTCCAACAAACCCTTCAAGGTCATCTTGGCTATTGTGGTCACCTTCTTTCTCTGCTGGGCACCGTACCACATATTCCTCATCCTCAAGCTGGTGGGAGTGAAGGGTCAAGGGATGTCCATTGGCCTTCCTCTCACGTCCTCTCTGGCCTACCTCAACAGCTGTGCCAACCCCATCCTTTACTTCTTCCTGGGCCTGGACTTCCGCAGGAAGCTCAGCCGTTTCAACTTGGCTGGGGCTTTCAGGAGAACTTTGCTCGAAGAGAGCGGTTACTCCTTCAGAAGGCCTAGCAGATACCAGAAGGAAGCTGCTTCATCCGTCGCTGAGCCAGTCCAATCCACGGTGGTTGATAGAGTGCTGTGAGCAAATTCAAGGTTCTGGAGACTTGTTGGCTTGTGAGGTCCATGAGTCATCATTTGCTGAAACAGTATTAATCCATCACATTCCTTACCAAATCAAATTTTGGACTGCCCGTTTCTGCCCCCAAATTGCGGAGTAGAATGAAATTTAACCTTGTGGTACACAGTGATGTTTTCTGAACATTTTCAACTGGGGATAGCAGGTGTGAGGTTCATGGCAGATCCATTTCTTTAACCAGGTCAGGTTTTTCATAATGTCCCGGACTAAGCACAGATAAGTCCACCCCAGGATTTATACTAGACTGACAGGGCAAGGGCAGTTCTGGAAAGAAGAATGAGAGTGCACCCTGGGGCAAGGAAGGAACTCTAGAATAAATCCCTATACCTACTAAGCTTAGTCTGAATGCTGATTCTTACAGTCTCAGGTCTCTGAACATAACTTGTGTGTGTGGTTGTTTGTGGTCTTTTGCCCTATCATTGGGTCTGAAAGCAAACGTGGAGTCACTTGAGGGACAAACAGAGCTCTGCTTTTGAGAACCAGGCTCTGGAAATGGATTGAGGACAAATTTCCAAAGTTCAGCTTAGCAAAGCTGGAAAACCAAGAAAACCTTAAAAACCTGGGGAGAATGTTTGCATGATATTGCAGACTCCCCCCCCCCTTCCCTGAGCAGTGAGACTATCCAGGGAACCAGGGCTTCCTGGGTTTAGGTGAGTCAGCATTGGAGACTTAAGGTGTTTTTGCAATAGATGCCTGCAACAACAGCCCTGCAGAATCAAAAAGTTGGAAGACCTGCTCTGGTTGACAGAAGCGCATGTGGTCTGAAGCTGCAGTCTGAAGTAGGGCGGTGTCTACCTACCCCTGAAGGATGCTTAGAACTTCTGCTGGCATCTGGATTTTTTGAACAGCACCTCGCTCCTCTTCTCTCCTCCGTGCCATGTTGCTAAGCAGGTTTAAAGTACAGTTGCTTCAGAGGGGGGTGATTTAAAAATGTACCTGTGATGGTGCAAAAATTTATTAAATACAGTCATCAAACAGGCTTCCTAATCCTGGGATTGTAGAAGTTGCTCAAAAGAGACACACCTCTCCCGAGGATTAAGCGACGGCTTTGCTCAAGGTTTCCTAGCGCACAAAACAAGTTATTCATCCAGCTTCCCCAGCCCAAATGAGAGACCGGCAGTCTTAATCATGCAGGCTCTGTTTCTGAGCTGTTTTGTTGTAGGTGTTGCTGTCTCAAGGAGTGCTGCTGGGTCACATCTAATCCAGCATTTTGTTCTCACAGTGGCCATCCGGATGCCTATTAAGGAAAGCCTGCAACAAGGATGCAAGGACAGTAGCCCTAGTCCACCATAGTTTCACAGTGATATATAGGTAGTATAACCTAGCTCCAATATAACCACCATGTCTAGAAACCTATTTGACCGTCTTAATTGCTTACTGAAGCTACCCAGCTGGTGGCTGGGTACCCACCACACCTTTTGTCAGAAAATTCCGTATTTTAACTATGCGCTATATATGAAGGAGCTTCCTTTAGTCTGTCCTGAATCTCCCAACATTCAGCTTCATTGGACAGGCCTGGGTTCAAGTCCCACAGCAATGGGCTACTGGAGAGAGAAAACTAGTCGAGTGACCAGGGCCACCTTCACACCAAGCCAGATGATACCACCTTAAACGGTAATGGCTTCCCCCAAAGAATTATGAGAGCTGGAAATTGTTAAGGGTGCTGAGAGTTGCTAGGAGGAACCTAGTCCCCTCTCAGAACTACCAATTCTCAAGCACAGTTTAACATTCAATCCCACTTCACAGGGAACTCTGGGGATCGAAGTTCTGTGAGAAGAGACTTGGGGACCTTAACAAACTACAGCTCCCATAATGCTTTGGGGAGTTCATAACTGCTTAAAGTGGTATCATAGTGCTTTAATTTGGTGTGAATGTGGCCTATGACTAAACCAGGCATAGGCAAACTCTGCCCTCCAGATGTTTTGGGACTACAATTCCCATCATCCCTAACCACTGGTCCTGCTAGCTAGGGATCATGGGAGTTGTAGGCCAAAAACATCTGGAGGGCTGAGTTTGCCTATGCCTGGACTAAACCATCCCCATTTCTCGGCACTATATGTAGGTGGTGACATTTTATGTGCTGGGTATATGCATTTCACTGAATATTCTTCAGAGGCGGATGAAAATTCTTCGACAGTTCAGGGAAAATACATTTTTCACCTCCCCAATCTTTCAGAATGTTGAAGGAAGCTCTTTTGCTGGCTCATATTGGGGGATGAAGGGAGTTGTGATCGAAGAGAGGGCAGGAGGGAGAAGGGGCAAAGTCTGTTGAGCAAAAGCAAATTGCCTATAAATGAGGCTGTTTGGGGTCAGTTAAAGATGTGACTGAGCCAAAGGGGGTTTGCAGGCCCTCTGTGCAGTGCTATGCAAGGGCCAACAATCAGCTGTTTGTCAGGGCTTGCGACATGCCATCTGTGGACCTTGCAAACAGTGACAATCAGCTGATTGCTGAGGCTTGCACAGTGACATGTGTGGTGTTTCACAAGCTGCAGCATCATCCGCATGGGCAGGAAAAAGGCATCACTGAGACACCTGGAAATTGAGAGGTATGAGAGGAGCCATGGGAGGCAGAGACACTCACAGGAATGTGGGAAGCTGTCTTATAAACTGCTTTGGGGTTCTTTTTCAAGAGGCGTACTACTTTTATGAAATAAATAAATACTGAATAAGGCCGTTGGTCCATCCAGCTCAGTACTGCTGCCACTCCAACACTTAGGAAGGCGTTTCTCCCACTCCTACCTGGAGATTGGACCTTGTACATGCAAAGTTGATGCTCTGCCACTGAGCTACGCTCCTTCCTCAGCTGCTGCTGCTGCTCCTTCTCCTTGTCACTGTGCTTGAAGAAAGCAGCTGACCAGGCACCAGAAAAGACTGAAGAGGAGCAAAACTAGCAGCCCACTGTTGGGGAGTGGGCCTGGGCAGGTGTCTCATAATTCACTTATGCACGGCAGATACGTAGTCATGGGAACAACTGGATATTCCATATAAAGTAAAGGTAAAGGGACCCCTGACCATTAGGTCCAGTCGTGACCGACTCTGGGGTTGCGGCGCTCATCTCGCTTTATTGGCTGAGAGAGCCAACGTACAGCTTCCGGGTCATGTGGCCAGCATGACTAAGCCGCTTATGGCAAACCAGAGCAGTGCACGGAAACGCCGTTTACCTTCCCGCCGGAGCGGTACCTATTTATCTACTTGCACTTTGATGTGCTTTCAAACTGCTAGGTTGGCAGGAGCAGGGACCGAGCAACGGGAGCTCACCCCATCGCGGGGATTCAAACCGCCAACCTTCTAATCGGCAAGTCCTAGGCCCTGTGGTTTAACCCACAGCGCCTAGTAGGTACCAAAATAGGCTCTAGCTAGTGCCTGGTGTACTTCCAGGCAGATGCAGGAGAAGAGCAGGATTCGACACAGAGAAGTTTGCAGGGAGAGGGAGGCTGGGCAACTTAATTATCACGAGTGAAACCTTCTTATTGCAGGAGGGAATAACTTGAGTGACATTCAGATCTGTTTCCACTTTAAAGGTTGACATAATAAATAGCCCAGAGTTTTATACATGGTTGCCCCTTTAAGCAGTGTCCCAGGTATTCCAACAAAAGAAAGAAAGACCGAAGCACACAATAAATACTAGGAGGTCTATACAGCGTGGGCACGATGCCTTGCTTTTCCGCATAGGGGGTGCAGCAGAGTTTTAACCCCCAAACACACATATTAAGAACCTCTTCCACAATCCAGTCAAACCCACGTGAACGTAGTGTGACAAAAACACTACTGGGGAGGGGTGGAAAAGCCACATGGTTGAGCGAGTCTAAACAAGTAGCAATGATGGAAATAAGATGTACTCCTAAGGGTTACAACCAGAACCAAATCTCAGCTGGTTGGGGCTAGTGCAAGCCATGACTTCTACAAAACCAGCAGGAGTCTACTTGTGACTCATGGAACGTCCAGCCAACTCATAAAATCCACATGAAGTCCAGATGATTCGCTTTGTTCGGCAGGAGCTACAAGTTCCAGAGAAGTTGGTTTTTATCCTTCGGAATGGAAGTCACTTTTATTTATAGAAGAGTTTCCATCTGCCAAGACATTGTCCTAAGTCTTTTCTGATAGAGGGGATACTCAGAACTCTCTTTTGAGCTGGTCCATTAAAAAACAAACAACAGTATTCAGGCAATTTGTATGAACAAAACAGGCACAGCCAACCATTCTTATTGACTGATTACCCTGTTATAAGGTACTTGGATTCCACCCTGTTGTTCCAAAGATCAGATAGGCCACACAGCCTTCTGACCGAACATGAAAACACTTGGCCTCTCCTGTCTTGCTATCAGTCTCTGTATTGGGGAGGAGCCATATTTTACAGCAGAGGAGTCCTCCTTGGAAAGAAGTGTCAGGCCCCATAGTCAAGCATGGGGAGCCACGTGTCCACAGCAATCGCAGCCCATCAGTAGCGAACGTTCTCCTCTGCCGCTGTGACAATCGCATCCATCCAGATACGCATCGCCTCCGGGCTGGGTGCCACCATGCAGAAAAGGCGGTCGTAAGTCTTGACGCAGAAGGTCATCTTGGGGCTGGGGCTCTGGCAGAGAGGAGAGTCGAAAGAACAATGGAAACACAAAACTTTCTCATGATGCGCTTTTTCGAAATCCAACCCTTCCTCCTCCAAGGACCTCAAGGCAGGGCATGTGGTCTCTTTCAACACCTCCCTACCCCCACTTTCATTTTATCCTCATTGCCATTTTGTGGGGTAGCGCTAGGCTCAATTACAGCAGAGCAGCTTTGCAAAGCAACCACATCTCAGTGGTTAGAGCAGATGCATTGCACAAACCCAATTTCTGTAGACTCCATAAAAAAAATGGATCTAATATATTTGAATTTGTTAATATCATCCACTCTTTAAACCATACTAGGCATGTTGCCTCATAATACAATTTGAGGTCTGGTAGTGCAAACCCTCCTCTTTCTTTTATTTCCGTTATCCGTTATTATCCTTGGTTTTTGGCCCTGCCATATAAATCTTGCCAAATCTCTCTGCCATTCTTTAAAGCAATTTAGTCCACTTATTACTGGGATTGTTTGAAAAAGAAACAACATTTTCGGTAGCACAGTCATCTTTACTGTAGCTATCCTTCCCCATAATGATAAATTTAGCCTACTCCAGATTACACTGGGGTAGATAAGGGGCAGAGAACTGAAGGTGGCTCACCTAGCCTCTCTTATTTCACCCCGGGATTCTCCCTAGGTCACCCTCACCCCCATTTGCCCTGCTTCACACTGTCCTCGGGTGGTTTTTGCTTAGCTGGAATGTGTCCATTTGTTTGGTTATTTGTTTATTATCCTGCCCAAAGGAACCTAGGGTGGCAAAGGACAACTCTTCCCAGTTTACAAACCTTCACCCCCAGATCTACACTCCTCAATGCTCCGAAACTTCCTGACATGCTTTTGGCCGTCATTTGCCTGAATAGAGAGAGGCCACCGGCCATTTGCTTGAATGGAGAGAGGCCACCGGCTACTGTATGCAAAGGTTAAGGGTCACACCTGCGGCTCCACACACTTTTGCCCCCCTGGTCCTGCCCAACACTGGCATATGGGCCACAGAATTTTGCCTGTGATGGAACTTAGTAACATAAGAACCATTAGCCCATGTGGTCTGGCATCCTGTTCTCACAGGGGCCAGCCAGATTCCCCAAAGCACAAAAACACTCTCCCCTCCTGCTGTTTCCAGAAGTGTTACTGCCTCCAAATGGCTAGTAAAGCCATCGATAGCCCTCTCTTCCACGAATTTGTCTAATCCCCTTTTAAAGCCATCGGAGCTGGTGGCTATTGCTGCTTCCTGTGGCAACTAGTTCCAACTATGCTCTGCATCAGGGGATTTCACGGCAAAGAGAGTTTTAAGGGGGGGGTCTGTGCTTTGGGGTACCTTGAAAGCACTGCGGAGGTGGTCGTAGTACACCTCTTCGATGGCCTGGAAGTAAATGACGCCTTTAAGCTTGGTCTCCTCTTTGTCTGCAATGAGAAAGAAGCAGAGGGGCACATTAGGAAGCTGAGAGCGGCAGGGGAAATACCAAACAGAGGATAGGCATGAATTTCTCAGGCGTATCACATTGACCCCTCCACAACACAAGCATAGAGGCATTCTCTAAGGGAATATCAGACATTCCAGGATTGGGTGCCAGCTGCAATTCCTTAGGGAAAATAGTACTGGGTTGCAGACTGCAAAACTTTAATGTCTTCATTTTTATTTTTTTATTTTAAAGAGAGTTTCTAGTCCTTATGGATGTGAAACAAGTGAATGGCTATGGCTTAAGAGAGGAAGCCTGGTGAAATTTAAGAGCCTGAGAGGGAGATGAATATGCTTTCCAGTAGATTTCATTTTTGTTAGCAACTTGCTTTCCCCATGGATGATGATGATTTTCATTTTTTATACTTATATGCAAATTCTCACATCCAAATAAGAAATATGCAAACAGACTTGATTTGTATGTTCTACACATACCAGCGGTTTGAGCTTCAATAGGCATGGGGAGATTAATGCTGTGGACAGACTTTCGAGATCAAAGGAAGGTGCTTTGTTGCAATAAATGGATGCTTCTGCCACCCCACCCCACCCTGCAACACAAATTGCGCAGGATCTGGATCAGTGCTGTGGCAGAGTCAAAGGGGTAAAGCCCACCCCAAGGTCCTGATCCAGATTGGAGCCATGCACTGTCAATTTCTGAAAGAAGAAAAGGCTGCTCGTATGATTAACGCCACATGCAGTTTGGCTCTAAGTCTGCCCATTGAGTCTTAAACTTGCTGCACTGGCTGGCAACAGCTCTCTTTCCTATTTCTGCTGCCTGAGACCCCTTTGACTGGAGAAGCCAGGGAGGAGTTCAACCAAGGACCTTCTGCAGGCAGAGCAACTGTACTCCAACAGTACATAGCTTTCAGAACTGGGGGAGCCAAGAGCCATCACGAGCAGCAGGTTCCGATAACAGATGAGCACCCCCCCCCAAGTAGCTAATTGGGGGATAAGCAGGCTCACCCTACTGTAATCAAAACCCCAAATTACCCCATCCTCTAAAGGTGCCAGTCTTTTAAATCTCAACAACAAACCTATGATTACATGAAACATACTTAGTAAACACACAAGATGTAACCGGCTGTACTTTGGAATAAATAAGGTAAACTATTCATTTCAACGGAAGTCTCATAAAGTTCAACAAAAAAAAAGCAGAAGACCCAGTGGATCAGTTCATTCTCTAGTCAGTTCATGCATAAGGTCCATACAGGTATAAGTGTCTATTCCACCTGTCTGTTCATAAGGTAAAGGTAAAGGTACCCCTGCCCATACGGGCCAGTCGTGTCCGACTCTAGGGTTGCGTGCTCATCTCGCTCTAGAGGCCGTGAGCCGGCGCCGTCCGAAGACACTTCCGGGTCAGGTGGCCAGCGTGACGAATCTGCAGCTGGTGAGCCAGCACCAGCGCAGCACACGGAAAAGCCGTTTACCTTCCCGCTAGAAAGTGGTACCTATTTATCTACTTGCACTTAAGAGTGCTTTCGAACTGCTAGGTGGGCAGGAGCTGGGACCGAACAACAGCTGCTCACTCCGCCGTGGGGATTCGAACTGCCGACCATACGATCGGCAAGTCCTAGGGGCTGAGGTTTTACCCACAGCGCCACCCGCGTCCCCAGTTCATAGAGTCCAATAATCCACATGAAGGGCAATATTACAGGATAGTGGATCTTATAGTATAGTAGTGGTTACATATGAAGAAGAAGAAGAAGAGTTTGGATTTGATATCCCGCCTTTCACTCCCTTTAAGGAGTCTCAAAGCGGCTAACATTCTCCTTTCCCTTCCTCCCCCACAACAAACACTCTGTGAGGTGAGTGGGGCTGAGAGACTTCAAAGAAGTGTGACTAGCCCAAGGTCACCCCGCAGCTGCATGTGGAGGAGCGGAGACGCGAACCCGGTTCCCCAGATTACGAGACTACCGCTCTTAACCACTACACCACACTGGCTCTGTTCTACTGATGGATGGTGAAACAACGCTAATATTCCGGAAATCCTTGCCTTAGACTCTGTGAAAGGATTCTGTGGAACTGTAACAAAAGCTCTTCTGCTTTTTTCGTTGAACTTTATGAGACTTCCGTTGAAATCTACAATTTGATGCAATGAATAGTATACCTTATTCATTCAAAAGTACAGCCGGTTACGTCTTGTGTGTTTATTGAGTCTTTTAAACCTCTGCATGCAAATGAAATAAAGGTAAAGGGACCCCCGATCGTTAGGTCCAGTCACGGACGACTCTGGGGTTGCACGCTCATCTCGCTCTATAGGCCAAGGGAGCCGGCGTTTGTCTGGGTCATGTGGCCAGCATGACTAAGCCGCTTCTGGCAAACCAGAGCAGCGCACGGAAACGCCGTTTACCTTCCCGCCGGGGTGGTACCTATTTATCTACTTGCACTTTGACATGCTTTCGAACTGCTAGATTCGCAACAGCATGCATGTTTGGGAGTTTTGCTCCCAGGTGAGAAAGCCTTTCTTCTACCCCACCCCACCAAAGCCATAAAAAGTGGGAGCAACCTCACAGGACCAGCCTGTTGGATCAGGCCACTGTGAGAACAGGATGCTGATCTAGGTGGGCTTCTGGCATGATCCAGCAATGCTTCCCTTGCATTTTTTACATGGCGGTCGGTTGTGGACTCTCCTTCTCACCTGCATAGTAAGCCAGGACACGTTTCTGACGGTCAAAGGTGAACCACCGCTTCTTCCAGGTCTTGATCCTGCCACCCATCTTGACCAGGTAGCCTTTGCAAGACTTGTTAGTCACCCGCACCTGGGAGCAGGTGTCTACGCTGTGCCCCGATGCCTCCAGGTGTTTGCGCAGGTCAAATGTGGCTGGTTTTTGCTCCTGGATCTCGGCTGGGTTAGGATCCTGCAGGACAGCAAGCACGGCAAGGGTTAAATTTGGAAGTGGGTTTTTGGGGGAAAGGGGCACGTTCAGAGCAGCCTGTACTCTGCGACTGCACCATGTAAGAACAAGAAGCCAAACTGGACACAGAATTCAGTTTCCTAAGGTTCTTGGCTTTATGCTTTTGCCAAAGCAAGTTTCTAGTCCTTATGGAGGCAAAGGGAAACTTGAAATGCATGTGAGCGAAGGTTGAATGTCTAGAGCTGCTTTGTATACTACATGAAAGCCAACAGTTACCCGGCAGACCAGCAGGGAGTTATACCAGCGACACTGGGACAAAAAGAACAGGAGAGGACTGTTGTCTTCAAATCTAGCACACCACCTTACTGTAAGTATCAGATCTGGTCACTGTGGGAAAACGGCTAGATGGACTTTTGGCAGAGCTGTTCTTGCAATCTTATAATGAAGCCTCATGTTCTCAGGCTAGTGGGTGGGAGCTGAGCAGAATTTGCATTTGAAGCTTGACTGCCTTGTACAACACATCTCTCCCCACTTCCTATATGCAAATGGCATTTCTGGTGCGGAATGGGGATGTTACTTTGGGTATGAAATTCTGGCGTTAAGTGAAACATTACAGATATAATCACCAGCTTTCTTTTGGAGTTAGCCCACCTGACCTAGCATCGCCTACCTTGATTGATAGTACCTTTCAAATCAGAGATACGTACTTAACAATGAACGAGCATAAGAAGAGCTTGGCTGCTGGATCAGGCCCATCTAGTCCAGCATCCTGTTCTCACAGCAGCCAACCAGATGCCTGTGACAGACCTGGAAACTGGACCAAAGGAAAAGAGCACTCTCCCTTCTAGCATCTGGTGGTTCCCTTGCTGCGAGAAGCCAAGTTACAGGGAACCAGGCAGAGGGCCTTCTCGATAGTGGCACCCGCCCTGCGGAACGCCCTCCCACCAGATGTCAAAGAGAGAAACAACTACCAGACTTTGAGAAGACATCTGAAGGCAGCCCTGTTTAGGGAAGCTTTTAATGTTTAACAGACCACTGTATTTCAATATTTTGTTGGAAGCCGCCCAGAGTGACTGGGGAAACCCAGACAGATGGGTGGGGTATAAATAATAAATTATTATTATTATTATTACTATTATTGTTATTGTTATTATTTTCAGAAGCATTACTGTCTCCAACTAGGGAGGCAGAGCACAGCCATCATGGCTAGCAGCCATTGATAGCCTTCTCTTTCAAGAATTTGTATAATTCTCTTTTAAAGCCATCCAAGTTGGTGGTCATCACTGCCTCCTGTGGAAGAGAGTTCCCCAGGTTAACTATGTGCTGCATAACAGAATTCAAATTGTAATACAATAAAATAAACAAAGGGAGCAATATAATTACTATTGTTATTATTATTATTTATTGATTTACATACTGCTTACATGCCAAATGGCTTCGAAGTCATATTTAACTCCATAAACATTAGAAGACATCTGGAGACAACCTGGTTTAGGGAAGCATTTTATAGTTTTATTATGTTTTTATATATGTTGGAAGCCACCCAGAATGGCTGGGGCAACTATTATTATTATTATTATTATTATTATTATTCTATAAAATCAATAAATAATTAAAATACATAGTCATAGTTCTATTGGGGCATTAAAACATCCTTAATTAAAATATCTCCGCTTCTGGCATCTTCAAGCAGGACTGGGAAACAGACTCTTATCTAAACCTCTGGACAGGAGCTACTTAAATAAAAAGCCAATTAAGAGATTTTTTAAAAATAAAATAAAGTGTCTGCTACAGAATTCAAATTGCAGTGCCATGAAATACAATGTAAGAAATGAAAAATCAACGTGAGCATTTAATGAGGGCATGCCACGGACCACTTGAAGGATGCTTGTGGGCCACTCACGGTCCACGGACCACAGTTTGGGAACTCCTGACGTAAGCTAAGGCTATCAATGGCTACGATCCCATGATCTCTATTTGCTAACTCCAGCTTGGCTCTGAAGACCAGCTGCAAGGCAGCAAGAATGAAAGTGTGTTATTTACACTCCTGTCCTCCTTGTGAGTTTCCCGTAAGCGCCTGCTTGGGCACTGAAGGAAACAGAATGCCAAAGAGCAGATCAGCCTTTGGTTTGACTCAGCTCTTAGGAAGAAGCACGGGCTTGCTCACATGTTCACAGAAGCTACCTCCTCTGATCAAAAAGCTGAATTGTTGTGCGACAAGCACACAGAGTGAAATGAGATTGAGTGTTTGGCGGGGAGGGGAAGGCTTGATTAATTTCATTGTACACAGGTCCTACATTGACAATAAAGGTATTATTATTCTTGAATCATTTCCCCATCCCCTTGATGTGTACAGTGGCTGTCCGGAATGCGCTCTGTGCATGCTCAAAGTCCTTCCCAGTTTACAAGATGCATACCAGAAGCAAATTTGCAACAGGCTCCAGGCTTAGTCCTGGCAAAGCCCGTTTGAGCTCAAGCCACTTTCCCGTGGGGATCCAAAGACGAAAGGGATCATAAAAGCTCGTTTTTGATTTTGCATAAGTTCTCCTACCTTGGTGGACGGGGGCACCTCCATGCGTTTTGCCTCCTCGGCTGCTTTCTTGGCCTCCTGCAAGGAAAGAGTGTTGAGCGGGTGATAGGCAGCGAAGCGCCAGCAGCCACAGGCATACCCCAAAAAAGACAAACATCACACGGGCACATGCACACAACCCCAAACCGCAAAAGATAAAAACCAAACGGATTCCCAGACTCCTCCCCTCACGCTCTCTCTCCGTGAGCAGAGAGCTGACATAGTGAAACCTGCAACTTCCTTGTCCTCGGAGGCACATGGCAGGCAACTGAGGTTACTCTGATTTATGTTCGCTTTCCCCGACCGCCTGCCCACCGGCTAGACCTCGCTACTAACAAGATGTTGCGGTGTTCCGTCTCAAGCAAAGAAAAGGGAGTTGAGCAGAGCAATGATGTTGTTATTTAATGTTAGATTCTGGACTTGACGGTCTATCGCCAAGGCTTCCTGCAGCTGTTACTGGGGAGTTTTGTGTTATGTTTGTTTTGTTTTCATGGCACAATATATTTATAGTCCTATTCTTCTTCTTTTTTAATGTGCCGCAAGTTGCTTGGAGCCCTTCCGGTAACAAGTGGCTAACAGGCCTATTCATTCATTAATTATCTAATGAATAGCAACCAATATGCAACTCCTGGTCATTTTTTAAACAATGTTTTGACATTCCTGCGTTCCAGGGGGTTGGGCTAGATGTCCCTTGGCAGTCCCTTCCGCAACTCTGCAATTCTATGATTTCCTCTACATTGAAACGAATAGCAGAGAAAGCATTACATCATTAATTATTTTAAATTTGTAAAGTTGCGTAGCGTAGCATAAATAATTCCCCAGATTACATGAAACAGCAGGCTATGAGAGCCACATCTGGCGGAAACCGAACTGCAGCAGAACAGAAAGGCCGTCCCTTGCGACAGAGACAGGTCGGAAGGAAAACTGCTACCTTCTACTGTTCCCAACTTCAACACCCATTAGCATACCCAGATCTAGTGGTAGTTGAGCAGTCTGATTCCCCCTGAGCTTCATGGCTATGTGAGGATTTGAACCCTGATCTCCCCAACCCTGGCCTGATGCTCTGCCACTGTACAACTCTGAATTGCATTTAGGTGCTTTAGCATTTATGGCCTCATATGCAAAGAGTATATGGGTGATATTGTGCGACGGAACCCCATAATGCTGCTAATAGGGGAATCAGGTCCAGTAGATTTCCTGGACCTGAGTATGCATGTCAGTTTATTAACCCACCCACCCCACCAAATTGGGCCTTGGCCCCTACCAAATTCTGTCTCACCCCCAAGCTCTTTTTACATTAGAGAAAAATGCAGGCAAAGCACATAATGTTTAGCTTGGTCCTCATGCTCTTACACATTGGGGAATGTGTGTGTGTGTGTTTATGTTTGTGTTTGTGTTTGGATAGCTGGAGAGACTTGTGGTATGTATACATGGATGACATCTTCCCACCCACCCCAAATATCAGGGATTATTCTGAAACCAGAGGAAGGCCAACAATCTTGGCCTGGAATTCGTTGATCTGACTTCTCACCCTTTCCTGCAGCAGCCGCTCTCTCTCGGCCATGGCCTCCCGCACCCTCCGTTCCATCTCGGCCAACTGGGTGACACAGTTCCCAAGGCTGTCGGGAGACATTTCTGGTTAGTGATAGGGAAAGTGGACAAGCAGTTATAAGGGTGTTGGCCTGAGCCTGTAGTTCAGGACTGGCTGACATGCTTAGTCCCTCCAGATGTCGCTAGACTACAATTCCCATGAGCCCTAGAGAGCACGGCCAATGTTGTAGCTGTAGTCAGAAACATCTGGAGGGGACCACATTGGCTGCCCTGCGGTGGTGCATCAACATCTGGAGGGCCACACACAGTTCTAAGTATTTCAAGAGACACAGTGCCTCTCTCCACCTCTCTCTCTCTTCCGCAGGAGGGAAAGTGGGAGATCTCATGACTCCTGCTGGATCTGGTCAAAGGACCGTCTAGTCCAGCATCCTGTCCTCACAGTGACCAACCAAAGGAGAAACCCACAAGCAGGACATGAGTGTGACAGCTCTTTCCCCTCCTGCGATTCTCAACAATTGGTATTAGAGGCATACTGCCTCAAAGGATGGAGGGAAGAACATATTCACTGATCAAGCCAAGTAGACTTGCTAAGATGTGTAAGACTGAATCAGATTAAGTGTTGGAGATGCAATGAGGTTAAGGGTACGTTCTTTCATATGTGTTGGACCTGTAAAAGGGTAAAAGAGGATTGGGAAATAATTCATAATTAATTGAAAAAAAATGTTGAAAAGCACTTTTCCAAAAAAAACAACAACAACCCCAGTGTCCTTTTCATTGGGGATAATTCAGACGGAATTTCCCAGGTGTCCAAAAAAGTTATTTATGTATGCCACCACTGCAGCCCATATTTTGTCAGCCCCCAAGTGGAAAACGAGCGAGGTCCCAACTAAAGAAGAATGGCAACTTAAACTGATGGAATATGCACAGCTTGCAGACCTAACAAATAGAATAAGAGAACAAAAAGAACATACGTTTAAAGAAGATTGGAAAATGCTTATTGAATATATTGGGGGGGAATTGTATACACTTGAAAATGTTGGCAGCATTAAGATAAATTCTACAGTTTAAATATGGATGTAATAATGGAATACTGAAAGGTTAGGTTTATGTAAAATATGCAGGGATTTATGTTATGCAAAATGAACCATAGAAAAAGAAGAAAGGAAGTCATTGATATTTTAAGGTTGTTTAAATGAATATTCTAAATTGTAAAACAGAAAATTTAATAAAAAATATTTTTTAAAAAGAACATAGCCACTGACATTCTCCACAAATTTATTCAATCCTCTTTTAAAGCCATCTAAGTCTGGGGCCATCACTGCCTCATGTGGACTCCCATGGTTTAATGTACTAATGGAATGGCGCCTGCCGAGTGGAGAAGGCCTGCATGCCAAGGAAACTGCAGCTGTCAACTGGGGAGGTGTTTGTTGGGACAGGCTGAGATTAAGAAAAAATGGATGTGCTCACCTATAGGCTCCTTGGCTGGACCCTCCTAGCTGCCCCACAGCTCCTTGGCCGGCCAGCAGCTGGTAGAGGGGGTTGTTGAGTCGTGAATATTGCAGGTTTGGGCTGCCTAGGTAGGGCCTGTTGCCCCCACCTGAGAGCTGTGCTGCCAGCATGCTGGGATCCAGAGCACCTGGAGGGAGAGAGGAGGAAATCCAAGGAAAGTGATTGGTTCAGCATCTCCCAAAAGACACAGGGCACATGGTCCTCATCAGAAGACAGTGAAACGGACCGTTGGTCCTCTAGCTCAGCACACTGATTGGCAACGACTTGAACCTGGGAAATTCTGCATGCAGGGTGGATGCTCTCTCTCTCTCTGAGCTATGGCCCAATAACTCCCCAACCCCTCCCCCTCTGGAAATCCTAATTTTGGATATAATTGGCCACAACATAGGGTTCAAATCCCCACCCAGCCAGGATGCTCCCTGGAGAGCCTTGGACCAGTCACTATCTCTCAACCTGACCTACCTCACAGGGGAGAACCATGCGCACACCACATTGAGCTGCTTGGAGGAACAGTGGAGTATAAATGTACTAAACAAATAACAGGTCCATTTGTTTCCCTGCCGCACCATTTAGATAAAAGAGACCGAGTTCCTGTAAAACATCTTATTTCAAACCTCTTGGTTCGCTGCTTAGGTGTGGTTTGTTTGTTTGTTTGCCAGCCACCATGAAGTTCAAACCATGCCATCAGTGAAAGAATGGCTGACTAAAGGCTAAGAGTTGACTCCCCCTGGAAAAATCATGGCTTCAGGTTGTTTTGGACTACAATTCCCATCATCCCTACCAAGGGTCATGATGGCTGTGGCTAATGGGAGTTGTATTCTAAAATGCCTGGCGGGCACCAGGTTGGGGAAAGCTGTCTTAAGAGATTGCAAAGGTGAGTTTACCGCTGGCCCATACTTTTTGGAGGAGAAAGTGGCTTTTCACATCAATGGGTAAGGTGGATAACATTCACTGTTTACTGGAATTGGTGTTGTACTTTTCGTTTCATTGGATAGAAGTCAGTTTTGTGCTAACGTGATAACAACAACCTCTGCAACCAAAATGTCATGTATATGAACCTTACCCACCCACCTCCAAAAATAGTATTCCTTGAATTTTCCCCTTTTCCTTGTCTCATGCTTTCTGCCCACTCCAAATAACTGGTTGCTAGCTCATTTCTGGGCCCAATCCAAGATGCTCACATTCATGTTTAAAGCTGTAATTGACTTAGGCCCCAAATACCTGAAAGACCACCTCCTTCTTTGATTGTTGTAACCCACCCTAGAACCTTAGGGTGAAGGGTAGGTAATTAATAATAATAATCCATACCATGCATAGAGAGGGGGCGCTGTGCAGTCCTGGCCGTGAGGCGTTCTCCTCTCCTACGGGGGAGACTTGCGGTCCTCTGCAATCCAATTGATCCCTGGGCAGAGAAAACAGGAAGGTAAGAATTAGGGTCGGAGCTCCCACTCCACTTCTCCCCTCATGCTTTGAAAAGAGCCAGGTTTTTGTCTGTTTGTCTGGTCATTTCTTAGGCAGCTTTATGAGAATTACATCCAGTAAAATCCATCACACATAAGCAACAGAACTTACCTCTTGAGTGCCAGAAATAGAGGGAATGATTCAACAACATGGAAGAAGGGTCTATTAGCCACACTAGCCATCTAGAACCTCACAAGCGACAACTAACTTAACTTGTTCCTTCAATGGAAGGATTTAGAGCAAAATATACTGTGCATCAGGAGGCTTGGTTTGGTCAGAATCAAGTAATCACTTCTGCTAAATGAGGCACAACAGCTGCTAGAAGGCCAAGAAAATTTGTGCCCTGGGCTTTTAAAATTTGTCTGCCCACATACTACTTGAAACTAAGGGGGCACATTGGATGCCAGATGTGAAATATATTGGCATTATTTTCAGCTCTCCTACCCCACTGGGTGCCCTTGCTCCAAATCCTTTACAGTGTGCAGGGGCTTCCACAGCAGATAAACCAATGTTTACAAATTGTTTCCCCAAGGCAGGGCCTTCAAAAATCACTGCTTTGAAAAGAACCCCTTGTTTCTATTTTTCTCGTTGTTTGGTTAACGATTCCTTGCCAGAGGGAGGTGCTGCAGCTTTGTGTGTGAAGTTCCCCCATAGAATGATCCATTAAAACCCCAGGGAACAGCTTTGCGGTGAAGATGCCTTCAAGTTTTGACTCCACCTACCCTGGTTGACCACTGAATTCCTCTGGCCAGGGAGAGAGTTTCCTTTGCCAGCTGAGACTCGCAACAAGAGTTCCTCAGGGCCCGAGCAATAGCATATTCCTGAATTATGGGTTATTTGTTGATCCTAGCTTGCTCCTCACACCTGACTCTGGTTCGCCCTCTGGCTGCGATTTGCTCTTTAGTCGTGACTGACTGACTGATCTCATGGCTCCTGGTTCACCTGCTACTACCTTGCAAGGCTCAGCCCAAATATTCCCCTTGTTGTTATTTAGTCGTTTAGTCGTTTCCGCCTCTTCGTGACCCCATGGACCAGAGCACGCCAAGCACTTCTGTCTTCCACTGCCTCCCGCAGTTTGGTCAAACTCATGATGGTAGCTTCGCGAACACTATCCAACCATCTCGTCCTCTGTCGTCCCCTTCTCCTTGTGCCCTCCATCTTTCCCAACATCAGGGTCTTTTCCAGGGAGTCTTCTCTTCTCATGAGGTGGCCAAAGTATTGGAGCCTCAGCTTCACAATCTGTCCTTCCAGTGAGCACTCAGGGCTGATTTCCTTCAGAATGGAGAGGTTTGATCTTCTTGCAGTCCATGGGACTCTCAAGAATCTCCTCCAGCAGCATAATTCAAAAGCATCAATTCTTCGGCGATCAGCCTTCTTTATTCCCCTAGCAAAGGGCAATCTCATATTCACAAGTCTCTGTCCTTTTGCCCCATGAGTCACTGCCATGTCTACTAGCCACTATGACTATGCACTACCCCCACAGTCGGAGACAGTAATGTTTCTGAACATCAGCAGCTGGAAACCACAGGAGGGGAGAGTGCTCTTGCGCTCGGTTCCTGTTTGCAGGTTTTGTTCCATTGCAAGAACAGGAAGGTGGGCTGGATCCAGCCGGTTCTACTTGTGTTCTTATGCCAACACGCCATCTTTGTTCCAGAATCTACCTTGCAGTGGTGGCTGGTGCCCATTGGAACTGGTAGGGCAGGAGGGCAACAGGAAGTGGAACCACAGCCAGGGTCAGAAGGCAGGTATGTGAGGATTGGATGAGGGCAGGCTGAGATTGCTGAATGTGTCCCATTTGCCCTAACAGACCTCCACTGCAGCAGTAAAGCCATTGGATATCTGCTGCCTCTACTGCTGGTCCATGATCCAAAGCACCCGGAAAAGATGCAGATGCCCCATCCTCTCCCATCAAGGACAATGCAGATCCAAAGGAGCTATAGCAAACACCTCACATAACCTGGTGCCCTATGGATGTTTGGGAGTTGTAGTCTGCTAACACCCAGAGGGCACTAGGTTGGGTGGGTGGGGGAAGCGCAGCTGCAGAATCACGTCTGTACACATAAAAGGAAGACACTGAAAATCAACACAGACCAACAGGACAAGACAGACCTTGACAGAACTGCGGACGGAGAAGACACAGGAGGAGGAGTCTGATTGGTCGGAACCCAACACAATGACCTTCCGGTCCGTCTTTTGGGTGAAAGTGAGCTGCAAGGAGAGACAGACACAGATAAAAGGATGGAAGCGGTGTTTCTCTCCCCCCCCCCAAAAAAAAACAACAACCCTGCAATACTAAATCAATCCTCTGTTGCTTTTACTACCAGAACCAATCAAAAAGGTGTGAGATTTTTCAGCACAGTCCCAGCAAGCTTTTCACATGTGGTCTGGCAGCATACACGGTAGTTTACATGACTCCCCTGCCCTCCTCCCCTGCAAGATTGGAGAGGCCGAGTTGACTCGCACAAATTTAACCTGGTTAAACTTCCCTAAACAGGGCTGCCTTCAGATCTCTTCTAAAAGTCAGGTAGTTGTTTATCTTTTTGACATCTGATGGGAGGTGCGTTCCACAGGGCCACTACCGAGAAGGCCCTCTGCCTGGTTCCCTGTAACCTCACTTCTCACAGGGAGGGAACCGCCAGAAGGCCCTCGGAGCTGGACCTCAGTGTCCGGGCTGTTTGATGGGGGTGGAGATGCTCCTTCGGGTATACTGGGCTGAGGCTGTTTAGGGCTTTAAAGGTCAGCACCAACACTTTGAATTGTGCTCAGAAACATACTGGGAGCCAATGGACCGGTGTTATATGGTCTCGGCAGCCACTCCCAGTAACCAGTCTAGCTGCCGCATTCTAGATTAGTTGTAGTTTCCAGGTCACCCCTAGCCCTTGAATATAGGTTTGCTTGGTGCCCACACAACATACTCCTCAAAATGACTTTCTGTTGTATATTCCCATTTAACATGGATTTACCATTTATGCAGAAAATCAGATCAGCACATGGAAATGGTGAGTCCAGATTGAACAGGGAATAAGAATATAAGGATGGCATTTTGGGGAGTACTAAAAAAAATGAGCACCAGGTCTTAAATTTCAGAAGGCTGCCCCCCTCTCCATGACACTTGTGTTTGGTTCATGCACTAAAGGGGCTAACTAGGAGTGGCACCTTCTCTCTTGCCCTGGTTTCTCTGTTGTACGCAACAGGCAGAAATTCAACAGGCACAGCCTCCCTTAGATTTGCACCATTCATTTATCCAAGTTTTTTATAGGCCACTCCTTTCTAAATGTTTTCAGATTGTTTTAAATACATTTTATTTTATTCCATTTTATTCTATTCTATTTTACGCTGCATTGTTTTACTGCATGGTTGCTTGCAGGGCTGGGCTTCTTTGAGGATGTCGGGTGCACAGATAGATAATGAATAAATAAGTAACTTTGAATAAATAATAATATTCATCCTGTAGTAGTTTATAATGCAATCTAAAACACAGCAATAATAAAAACGTAAGATCAGATCAATTAAAAGAAATACATTAACACAATGCACAGATTAAAGCAGGAATTAAAACAGCCACGCAAATACTTCAATGGCAATGTTTTAAAATGTGGGATTGCTAGGCTGGAGGAATGTTGAATTTCTGCCTGTTATACAGCAGCAACTTTAGAGCTGAGATCTGGGGTCCCCCTCTGCCACCCCTGTGAATTGTGCACCCACCTGGGTACAAAAAAACCACACAATCCTGGTTGATGGGAAACTTGGGTCACTCTCATACTGTCACTAATTTGCAGGTGGGACCCCATCACCAGTCGCACTATTAAAATAGATTTGGAGCTCTTGTAAAACAAACCCTTTTCCAAAAACAACTGGACTTTTTACAGTAAGGAAAATGATGAAGAAATGCACCAGAAGGCTGGGAATAAATAACATTTGCTCAAGGTAATGTTGCAAAACATCCCTGTAAAATAAATCAGAATGAATGCTCAAGAAACCCTATAACCTCCCCACAAAAATTTATGCACACAAATCAGGATGACCACTCAATAAGCAGGTCATCTGGAAGAGGATTTGGTCTTAGATGGGCACTGGTGGATGGAGAGACAAAAGGGAGCACCTGAAAGGGCTTACCTGAGTGACACCCTGCTTACTTTCAGAGGAGTCTTCTCCACCCTCCTCCGAATACTCCGGGCCCATGTCCATTAGGCGATTTTTCTCCTACACCAAGAACGACAACAAGTTATATATATAAGGGTCTGGTGACTTCTGTTTCAGTGTATCTAAAGAAGTGTGCATGCACACGAAAGCTCATACCTATAACAAACTTAGTTGGTCTCTAAGGAGCTACTGGAAGAATTTTTTTTATTTTGTTTCGACAACAAGTCATGTTGTCAGACAGTTGCAAATGTTGCTTCAGGTCAGCTTGACACATAAACGGATCTGGTGCCCCATTCATTTCCCCTCCTCCCACCACCCCACGTCTTCCGACTGTCGGTTCACCCACAAAGAATAGGTACTCTTCAACTGTCCCAGTAAAACTGGAATACCCATTTTTTTTCGTGTGAGAACACAGTGCTCATTTTGGGTGCCATAATCTTGCTTCCCCCAAAAAAAATGCTTTTGGGGGGCCATGATCTCACTCAGCACCCCAAAATATGCATTTTTGGGCACTGTGCTTCCATGCAGGAGCACAGCTCTGGAAAAACTGTGTCTTTCAGGGGCCCAATCTCATGCACGTAACGTGACTCGGCGTGGACACACACCCTGGTTTTTCACCTTGATGTGTTGGAAGGTATGAGAATAGCATCTCGGTGTCTTTAGTGCCCTCCCTCCTCACAATAAAGCCCCTGGTCTCCTCCATTGCCATTGGCTGGCTTTCCTTGTCTTCTGCCCCACCCGTCCCAATGGGAACCAGCCACCACTGAAGTCTAGGAGCCAAAACCTCTGGTTTCTATCCCCAGAAAGAAGCTTAGTGGCAGGGAACTGAAAGCAAGACTTTGCATTAGTTGTTAGCGTTGGGCATGGCAAGTGGGCTGGTGTGGGAAGAGAGGGAACCTGGGATCCTGGGTGTTTTCCTGGCTTTCAGCCAGAAATTCCTTGCTGCACCGAGATTCCTGGGAATTCCTTACCACGTTGAGATTCCTGACGGCCTCGCCTTTCTCTTGCGCAAATCGCTGGCTCTCGCCCACCATTTGCTCCTGTGTCAAACGGGCCTGTCCTTCCAGCCTCTGCACCGTCCTCTGGATACGGGGGAGAGAACCTGGTTAGAATCCTCAGTCTTCAGGGCAACACAGAGCTCTATTGCACCTAGGATAATTATACACAGGGAGCCCCTCCTGTGTCGTGGTCAGGTGCAGTAGAAGCAAAAACACAACCCCAAGGTTATTGACTAATTAAATAACGCTTAGCTGATGACTCATCTCCCTTTTCAAAGATTTAACTATCACGTGTGCAGAATACCCCAAGCTAAACATTTGTTTTTTTAAAAAAAAGCAAAAGCAAAAGATGGACAGGTAAATTGTGTGCTAACCTACAGTTTTAACAATGCTCCTTTATTGAAAGGAAAGGCCATCTTCTTTTTCATCCTTTATTTTATACATATGACAGCAGGAAAAAAAGACAGATAACACCCTTCAAAAATATACTTAAGAGCCTCTAAGTCTTGATCCCTCTGATTAAAAGTTGGCACCACTAGTTCAAAGGTGACTCCTGCATCAACTGAGCAACTAAAATTTCAGTTGGTTGATCTACTCATTGGACCAGATTTAAGTGTGCCGTCAAAAGAAAACAAAAGGAAAACAGAAGTACCAGATCCGTTTGTCGTTGCCTTGGCAAAGCAGCCTGGAGCACACGAAAAACCACCCATGCTACTTTTTAAAGAATAAATGTGTAAGAAATAAATGCTGCGCACATGAAAATGGCAGGATAGGAATGTCCCTCCTCATCCTGAAAAGAAAAACACTACAGCACTGTCAGGGCCCCAGGTCAGAGAAGGCTACTATAGAGTGAGACAAACCCTGGAACTGTATTTATGGGTCATCAGGACTGCCACTTACCTTCCTTTGGTTGATGCTGTTCTGCAGCTGAGTGATCTCTTGGGCCAGAGCCTGGCAGATGGCCTCCTTCTCCTCTTCCAACCGGCTTTCCCGCTCCAATTGCTGGAACTCCAGATCTTCATAGCATCTCAGGGCTCCATCTAGCATCTCAGACGTCTGGATAGAGAACCAGAGTCAAGATACACTTCTGGGTCCCATCGCTTATTGCCAGAAGGACCCAGTGGTCAGGGAACTTATGCTACCTGCCAGATTCCCACAATTTGCAAGCCAGTAGAAGTTTCTTCCTGGCTTGGATTTTTTTAGGCCTGCATTGTGGAGACCAGCCTTCCCCAACCTCCTGGTGCCCTCCAGATGTTTTGGACCACAACTCCCACCCAACCCAGCTGTGGTATTGGGGGCTGATAGCAATTCAAAGCCCCCTAATCAGGGGAGCCTGTCCTAGATTTCACCACTTGAGATCATAGGTTGGGAGAAACCACATTTTTAAATGCACATGGCACAGAGAACCCTATTAGAAACATGCAAACACAAGGAGCTGCTGCCTTATACATCAAGCTCAGCACAACCCACACTGACTGGCAGCAGCTCCCCAAGGCAGGAGGTGTCTCCCAACTGTACCTGGAGACACTGGGGGTTGAACCTGTGATCTTTTGCACGCATGTGTTCTGCCAGTGAACCACTGCCCTTCCCTAAAAGTCTAGGCTACAGCCCTTCTCTCCCTGATGCCTATCTTCCTATAAGCAGAGAGTTTGATGCATGCCTTCAAATCGCACCATCTGCCCCACATGCAATCTGAAGTGGTAGCAACCAAAGAGAGAAATCACACAATCTGACCTGCTGCCATACCAGACCTGTTTCTGGCAGCTCCTTGCTGCACACTCACCTCCTGAAGCTGCTTCTGCATCCGTTCCCGCATGGATTCAGGCTGGTTGTCCAGGTGGATCTGTGATTCAGCGTGCTGCCGCTGCAGCTCCTCTACCTTGTGACGCTCTCTCTGCAGCCGCGCCTTCTCCTGCCGAAAAAGAGGGCAGGGAGAGCATTACTACATCTCCATGGGCAGCAAATATCCAGCCGCTTTTGCTCCACCTAGCAAGTTACCAGATTAGGCGTTCCTTTCCCAACTGTGATCGGCGCTGCGATAAGCGCCGCTTGGGAGGCCAAGTTCTCACTGATGAAATAAAGGCGAAGTCCAGGCTGCAACACTTCAGAGTGCAGGCAGGAGTGCAGTTCAGGGTAGGGTCACCTGGATTCAGTCTACCCATCACTTTTGCCAGCATGGGAAGATTGGAAGCTGCCTTGTGCTAAGTCAGACACAGTGGTCCATCACATTGGTGACACCGCCCAGCAGTGGTTTTCCAGGTGTCCCTCCCAGTCCTACCTGAAGGTGCTGGGATTCGAACCTGAGACCTTCTGCATGCAAAGCAGATGCTCTACCACTGAGCTATGGCCCTTCCTCTTCTCCCACTGCGGAATGGAAAGATATAACTAGTCGCTAAGTAATCAACATTTTCCTCCTTCCCTGTGTTCTCTTCCTTCTTGTTGTGCTGTTATTCCTCACTGCTTCAGGCACTTTGACCTCCCAGCCCATCACCAAGGTGTTGTGCTCTACTAGGAGCAGACTTTGGACATCAAGGTGGAGATTTAGCACCCTCCTGTGTGTCAGCTACCTGTTAAGTTCCTTGCACTATTTAATTACAGGTACTTATGAAGATTTCGGAAGGACAGCTTTTTACGCATATACATTCCTGGCGACAGCTTGTTGTTGTTATGCAGAAGTCCTGTGATGTGGGCTACTTGATGACAGCATTGCATTTTTATTCATATAGGAAGAAAATATCTATTGCACCTGTCATCATAAATGACATCAGGGCAGGACGCAAACATTTGCCATTTCTTCCCCCTACCACACACACAAAAAGCTGAGAGACCTAAGACAAGCAGGGAGACAGTGGGGGTGGCCTGCATTGCAGGGGTTTGGGCTAGATGACCCCTGGGTTCCTTTCCTACTTTAAGTTCTCTGAGTCTAGGACAAGAAAAAACACAAGGAGGAATATAGACAGCTGCCTTACACTGGTTTATCTAGCCCAGTATTGTCTTCACTGATTGGCAGTGGCTCTCTAGGCTTTCAGGCAGGAGTTTTGCCAGCCCTACCTGGAGATGCCAGGAATTGAACCCGGGACTTTGTGCCTATAAGGCAAATGTTCTACTAATGGGCTACAGTCCTTCCTCCATTCTGTGTGTAGGTGTGGTGGGGTTTTGTTTTCGTTTGACCAAACACCACTTTTCTGTCAACTTAAGCTTTGCTTTACTGTATTATATAACACTAAAGGGCCAAAGTAGTGAACAATAATAGGGATGTTGAGAAAGCTTTTGAATTTCAGTTTCAGTCTCAAAATACAGACAAAGAGTCTCATGGCACTTTAAAGGCTAACAAATTTATTATGGCATAAGCTTTCCTGGACGACAGTGCACTTCATCAGATGTATAAACAGTTACATTGAGTGGAAGGTATATATATCCATAACATGCGTGTGCGTGTTTTAAAGGGAATGTGCACTGAGAGGTTAATGTGCATAGCAACTGGCCATTGTGCACATTCACCAGGCCTCATGGGGAATGTGCATATAATCTTTCCAGGAAGAGAGAATAATGTACATTTCCATCAACAGACATACTCGCCAACTGCCCTTGGGGAATGTGCATATGTCGACTACATTTTGCACATTCTCTGATCAGAGGTGTGCAATCGGTCCACTGCCCGGGCTGCTTCCGGACCAGTGCCTGATCTTACATGACCCACAACATACCCTCCCATTGATCAGCAGAGCAGTAAGAAGGACAGGAAGCTCCAGATACAGGTTAACTTTTTTCTGCAGTCCATCCTCCACCACCTTTTTTCACCTGTTCACCAATCAACTGAGCAGCAGAAGGGGGATTGGAGGGAGATGAAGAATGCAAAACTTCCCTCCCCTTCCCACAGTCCTGATGGACCTTCCTACCATCACATGGGAGGGAAGATTCATCCAACTGGAAGAGTTACCCAGCAGGGAAACAGAGCTGGTAGAGAAAGGGTGTGATCCTACCCATCCTACCTGTGCCATTCATCCTCAGGTCAGGATGATGCTATCTGGGCGACCACACATGATCTTTCAATACTGTTTGCACTCGCAGTTTTGTTTCCAATCAGTGCATACCCTGCAACTTCCTACTGAAATCACATAACAAATGTTCCTGCATTGCAGGAGGGGTTGGGCTAGATGACCCTCGGGGTCCCTTCCAACTCTGCAATCCTATGTCCCGGCTGATTTTTGCCCCACTTTTGTTGCACTTCCACCCTTCTGGACAGCAATCATGCAGAGGCATCCAAGGAGCACCTCAGAACAAACAAACGCAGGAGAAATCCACATGTTGCAAAACACACCCGCAATAAATCACCAGCCTGAAGAGGCTCCTGGAGGCTGACGAGAGAAAGACTTAAGAGAGGAGGCCTCACCTTCTCTCTTTCGGCGTGGCACCTGCGCTCCGTCTCCACGAGGCGCCTCTGCAGCTCAAGCAGCTTCTCCTCTTCCTTTCTCAGCTCCTGCCTCTCCTCCTTCAGTTCTCCTTGCAGCAAGGCTCCTTCCAGGTCCATCTGCTGGGGAAGGGGGCCATGTCAGAGGCGAGGTGCCCAAACATCCTGACTGGCGGCCAGCCAACCTCTACACAACCACCAGGGGGCAGACGGGCAAGCAGAATCATGGGATAAGAGCAATCAAGGAATGCAGGAGAAGTTCTAACTTCCAGGCTCCCCTGATCTGATCTGACCATTAGAGAACGCTCCTGAGAGCACCTTGGGAACTAAACACCGTGCGGCGAGGGATGCCCCGTTCTGTGGAACCAGCAGGTCCTGCTCTCTATGTATCTGTGACGTGCCTCAAGCCTTTCCCCACCTGCCTGGGTGTGGTGCCTCCACCATACCGGTTTTACAGGTGCCAATTGTCACCCATCAGACACCCCTTTCCTCGCGAAACAGGGAGGGGATTGTAGGAGACTGAGGCGTACCTCAATGTTCACCTCCTTCTTCAGGTGATGCAGCTCCTTGATCCGATTCTCAAGAGCCGAGATCTTGCTCACAGCATGAGTTGGCCGCAGTTGCTTCTCCTTCGTGCTGCAGCCGATTCTTCCTGTTTGGGGACTCTCGTACTGGAAAGGGAAACACAATATATAAATCAGGGTTTGCGTGTACACGTGCAGGCTGCGTTCGCACAAACGAAACCCTGTGGGTGGTTCTGAACCCTGCACCATAAGAGCTTAAGAAGGGCCTATATCTAGCTGCTGGAGATGTGGCAAGAATAATGCTTCAGTGTCCTACTTTGAAAAAATTCTGGCAGGAGGTAATAGAGCCAATCAACATGACTGTATGGAGCAATCTTAAATTTGCAGACGAACATATCCTTTTGAATTATATACGCAAGACATGGAATCTAACAAAGGGACTCTATGTGCCCTTACTATGGCAAAAAGAATGGTCTTGATGAACTGGAAAAATAAAAATGCAGCTCCCTTTAATGATTGGATTGAAGATATGTACAAACTTGCTGCACATGAGCAAGTTGTGTACAAACACAGATTTGCCATGGCCAAATTTAATGATATTTGTTATAAATGCCATATTAGATGAAGGTCTGGTTAACTACAATAACACCCCCCCCTTTTTTGCAATGTACACAATATATTTTGTTGTTGCTGTTCTGTTTTGTTTCCTACATGGGTACTATTTCTTGTTTCTTCTTTTTGTGTCTTCTTTTACTTTGAGCACTTGTAATTTTGTACTTTTTTATTTTTCAATAAAGAATATGAAATAAATAAAGAACTTAAGAAGAAGTTGGGAAGCCTGCAAGCAGGATCTGAGCACAAGAGCATCTTTCCCCTCCTGTGTTTCCCAGCAACTGGTATTCAGAAGCATTGCTGCTGCATCTAACCATGGACTTCCTTTTCACTGGAGGTACCAGGTGCAAATCAAAACAGTGACCATCTTTGCATCTTTGTTCAAATGAGGTGCTCCAGCACTGAGCTAAGGTGTATCCCAGTAACTGTGCTAAAAGGTGTGGCTGAGTTTCCCTACCAGGATTGCAAAACTGAAACTGAAAAAGTCAGCTTGGAAGGCTAGAGATTAACACTAGTCCCTTCGCAAGAGAAGAGATTTTGTTCTTTCCGAACTCTTCCTCCCAGCCCTGCTCCCATCCTTTACCCCTTTGTCCAATTGGTACTTAACTAGGAGCTATGAAGACCTAACCATACCTGAAAACCAAAACTTCTGTCTTGGGAATCCTTCCAGTGACTACATACAGTCGTACCTTGGTTCTTGAACGCCTTGCAACTTGAACATTTTGGTTCTCGAACGCCGCAAACCCAGACATGAGTGTTCCAGTTTGCAAACGTTTTTTGGAAGCCAAACATCCGACACGGCTTCCGTGGTTTCCGATTGAGTGCAGGAAGTTCCTTGGTTTTTGAACGTTTTTGGAAGTTGAACAGACTTCCGGAACGGATTCCATTCAAGAACCAAGGTACGACTATAGTAGGAAACTAAGAGGAGGTGTTGACCATTCTCCACACAGATGAGCTTCATAGAGGGAGGATGAAAAACCTGCTCACTTCCCTCTCTATAGCAACACGCAGACTAATGGTTTTTAGGCACCAGTGGCAAAAGGGCTTGCGGTTAGCTGCCACATAAGAACTTAAGAAGAGTCCTGCTGGATCTGGCTGAGGGCCCACCAAGTCCAGCATCCTGTCCTCACAGTAGCCATGCAAAGCAGATGCTCTACCATTGAGCTGTGGTTCCTCCCAAACTATATAACTCTAATGCTCAAAAATTTGCAGTGGCAGACCCAATCTCTGCCCCAACACTGAATCTTCTGGGTCACTGTTTGTGGCCCCTATGGCTTGGATGCATGGTTTGTATTCATTGGGAGCCGTGCGGTTAATATTGTGGGCCCAAATTTATGTAACTCCCTTCTAGTTGGGGTTAGCAGACCTCATCCCTGTTGATTTTCCGGCGTCTACTGAAGACTTTCCCCCCATTAGCTGAAGTATGATTGTGTCGTTTTAGTAAAAGGTGAAAGATTTGTACAATCTGAAGAGAAACCAGAGTATCTGATTGAGTGGTTTTAACTACCTTTTCTGTATTGCATTTCTTGTGCTCCGCTTAGAGACGATTGCACTTCTCTACCCATTGTCTGATTAAAAGAAAAACATTGGGAGCTGCCTTGTCCCAAGGAGGACCACTGGTCCGTCTAAAGTTCAGTATTGTCAACACTGACTGGCAACAGCTGTCCAAGTTTTTGAGCAAGGCACATTCCCAGCCCTGCCTGGGGATATCAGGGATTGAACCTGGGACCTTCTGCTTGCAAAGCATATGGGGCTGGCGACCAGAGAAAGCAGAGGAGGCAACCCTAGCAAATACATATGCATATTTACCCCTGTCATTTCTGTTAAAAACACCCCTCTCCCACTTGATGAAGGAAAAGGCTCAAAAGCCAATTAAGCCTCAGATGAGAAATGAGACCCTAGACATTTGCTGCCACTCACCCCATTCTCGGCACTCTCTGTGCTGCTGGCTTCATCCTCCTCCATACCGTCACTGGAGTTTCCACCTGGACTGGAGCCGCCTTCCAAAGAAAGGGCATCTTCTATGCTACACTGAGCTGGGGACCCCTCCTTGTCTGGTGACTGGCACTTGGGCATATCCTCCAGGCGATCCTTCTCCGATTTGGTTGAAAAGGGGTGCAGCTCCGCTTGGCTCAGCACCCCCATGGCATCCGAGTTCTGTAGCACCACCGCTCAACAAGGCATGATATCCGCTGCGAGGATAAACAATAATAACAAAGACCCCTTGTTATTTAGTCACCAGCGTCGTCTATTTCTTTACTGACTTGTGATTCTGTTTAGGAATCGTTTCCCGCGGTTTCGTAGCAGGAAAGAGGCACGCTAAAAATAATCCCGCATGCGAAAAGCAACGGAGAAACAGTTCCGTGTATATAAAAACAACAACTCAAAACACTTTCGTGCATGAAAACAATTTCAAATCCAACACAGGTACAGACAGGGATAAAGATCTCTGCTTGAAATGATCTTCAACAGGTGCCACAGAGGTAGTTTTTGCCTGATATATAACTGCCAAAAGATTGGTGTCACAAAGGGCTGCATTTAATGTAGAGCTAAGATGCGCTTTGCATGAGCAGACAAATTCTACTGCATGGCGGGGGCGGTGTTCCTCTCCAGGCACCCCATAAATCTGTCCTGAGTTTTTCCCCAAGCCCAAAGCGGTTTTGGCGACAGTGAGGGGGTGCCTTTTGTTGCAGTGTGGTTTTAGCTTGCTGTTGTTCATTCTTTTCTTTGTGTAATTTTTTTTAAAAAAGCATTATCTGTCATTTAGTACATTCTGGACCCCAAAGGTGTGGTACAAGTATTTTAAGGCATGAAAAACAGGTGTAATGCCCTGAACTTCGGAAACACACCCCATGAATGCTAAGTATTTTTCTCCTCCCTGTCTTACGCAAAGGTAGAAAGCAAGCCCTGTTTATTGCAACTCATTACCATAAGTTGGGCCCAAGCCCTCAGGGACTTCATATGTCAAAGTCAGCATCCCATAATGGACTCCCTGCAATTCATTATTTTTAGGGGAAAGAAGGAGAAAAGCTTACCAGGAGCCTGGAAGCAGAAAGGAAAGGAAATTCCCATTGCACCAAAGGCCAAGGGAATCCCAACTGCTTCTCAGCCTGCTGTCGCCTTTCCTTTGCCCAAGATAATCCAGTGGCAGGGCTGGGCATCATTTTACCTTGAATGCACCAATGCCAAATTGCCCCTAAGGGGCCCAGCATGCACATGTGATGCCACATGTCACCTGTGACGTCCCATGCATCTCCAAATGCTGGGTAGACCGGTGCCACCTTCCACTAAACTGTGCCAGTCCCCGTAGTGTCAGGAGATGTTGTGCAAGCCAGTGTGACCTTGCGCCATGCCGGCTGGTCCCCTTGGCATCTCGAGACACAGTGCAGGCCAGTGCAGCCTTCTGCTGGCTGCAGGTAGGCCTGGCAGGGCCCAACACAGCTGTGGGAAAGCCGAGCGGGGCCTGACAGGCTGTGGAATACTGAGGGGCCCTGATCCTCTCCTTGAATGTTTTAGGGGGGTCTTGCCTCCCTCCAGATGGTGCCCCTGCACGGGGGCAACAACTGGAGTTGGTGGTTCCTGGCCATCTTTGCCACCTGAGGTTAAAAGGAAAAGGAACAGACATGTTATAATAATAATAATAATAATAATAATAATAATAATAATAATAATTTATTATTTATACCCCGCGCATCTGGCTGAGTTTCCCCAGCCACTCTGGGTGGGTCTCAATCGAATGTTAAAAACAACACAGCATTAAATATTAAAAACTTCCCTAAACAGGGCTGCCTTCAGATGTCTTTTAAAAATAGGATAGCTGCTTATTTCCTTGATATATGATGGGAGGGCGTTCCACAGCGTGGGCGCCACTACTGAGAAGGCCCTCTGTCTGGTTCCCTGTAACCTCACTTCTCGCAATGAGGGAACCGGCAGAAAGCCCTCGGAGCTGGATCTCAGTGTCCGGGCTGAACGATGGGGGTGGAGACGCTCCTTCAGGTATACTGGGCCGAGGCCATTTAGGGCTTTAAAGGTCAGCACCAACACTTTGAATTGTGTTCAGAAACATACTGGGAGCCAATGCAGATCTCTCAGGACCGGTGTTATGTGGTCCCGGCAGCCACTCGCAGTCACCAGTCTAGCTGCCGCATTCTGGATTAATTGCAGTTTCCGGGTCACCTTCAAAGGTAGCCCCACATAGAGCGCATTGCAGTAGTCCAAGCGGGAGCTAACTAGAGCATGCACCACTCTGGCGAGACAGTCCATGGGCAGGTAGGGTCTCAGTCTGCGTACCAGATGGAGCCGGTAGACAGCCGCCCTGGATACAGAATTAACCTGCACCTCCATTGACAGCTGTGAGTCCAAAATGACTGCCAGGCTGCGGTCCTTCAGGGGCACAGTTACCCCATTCAGGACCAGGGAGCTCTCCACTCCCACCCGCCCCCTGTCCCCCAAGAACAGTACTTCTGTCTTGTTAGGATTCAGCCTCAATCTGTTAGCCACCATCCATCCTCCAACCACCTCCAGGCACGCACACAGGACCTTCACCACCTTCACTGGTTCTGATTTAAAAGAGAGGTAGAGATGGGTGTCATCTGCGTACTGATGAACACCCAGCCCAAACCCCCTGATGATCTCTCCCAGTGGCTTCATATAGATATTAAAAAACATGGGGGAGAGGACGGAACCCTGAGGCACCCCACAAGTGAGAGCCCATGGGTCTGAACACTCATCCCCCAACACCACTTTCTGGAAGCAGGGTCACTGAGGGACGTGGTTTGAGGAAAGGAGGTGTGGCCTAGATTGAGCTGTGGAGGCCATAGAGAGAGTCCTGCAGGGCCACATTTGCACCCCAGACATGGGACACCCTATCCCTGACAGGTATATTGTGCTCACGTACGCAGGGCAGGACATTACACACCACATCGGCGACAGGACTGGCTTAAGATATTTCATTGCCTGAGGCAGAAAATGAAATTGTTTCTGTTCATTCGAGTTTATTAAATATTTCTAGATTTGCATCCATACATAAACATCAGCACGCACACATTCCATGCAAATCTGCATCCTCTTTCGGCATCTTCTTTGGTGACGCCTTTCCGATTTTTTGGTGACACATGAGCAGCCGCTTTCATTGAAAAGAGTGGCTGGGAAAGTGTCACAGCCTCACACCTTTCGGGAGCTGCTGCTGCCAGTCAGAGTAGTCAGCACTGGGCCAGACAGTCTGGCCTAGTCTGAAGCAGCTTCCTGTGTAATAGCAGAGGAGGAACTCTGGTTGGCTAAGTCTTCATTGGTGTGAGAATAATAAAGATGTTTCCTCTGCAAGATATGTGGGGTCGGGGGAGGGGGGAAGGTATGAACCTCTTAGATAACTGTAGACCCTCCAAGTGTCCCTATTTTCCAGGGACAGTCCTGGATTTATAAAAGCCATCCTGGTTTCTGATTTGATCCCGGAATGTCCCACTTTCACTTAGGATGTCCCTATTTTCATCAGAGGGTATGGAGTGATATGAGACCCGTAAGCTAAGGAGATAAGTAATGATACAACCTTTAGAAGACACCTGAAGGTAGCCCTATTTAGGGAAGTTTTTTAAATGTTTAATGTTTTATTATGGTTTTATATATGTTGGAAGACACCCAGAGTGGCTAGGGCAACCCAGTCAGATGGGCGGGGTATTATTATTATTATTAGTCCTTTTTTTCTTTAAAAATGTTTAGGGGTACTCTCATTTTCCTACTCATATTCAAATACCGTCCCTCATTGAGGCCAAACTTAGATTCACAAAATGCTTAGGGGTATGCGTCCCCTCAGAAAATAGCGGTGCTGGTGATGATGATGATTGAATAGGAAGTCCATATTTTCATCGGAGAAATGTTGGTGGGTATGCAACTGATGACCTAATAGCAACATCAAGTTTGCTTTAAATGTCTGGTGAGAGAATTTAAGCCCCCCAGATGTTTTGGGACTACAATTCCCATCATCCCTGACCACTGGTCCTGCTAGCTAGGGATGATGGGAGTTGTAGTCCCAAAACATCTGGAGGGCCGAGTTTTGGGGGTGCCCGACTTAAGAAGAGTCTGGCTGCTGGATCAGGCCACAGGCCCATCTAGTCCAGAATCCTGTTCTCACAACAGCCAACCAGATGCCCACAAGAAGCCCCCCAGCACAGCTGCATCCTCCTTCAAATGCCCAGTGCCACATTCAGTGGAGGTGGAGAGCATTTCCATTGCAGCTGGTAGTCATCCAATAGCTTTCTCCTCCATGAACTTGTCTGGTGCCCTTTGAAAGCCTTCCAAGCTGGGGCTGTCACTACCTCAAGTGGGAATGCGGAGGCAGAGACCCACCACTTCAGCAGCCCACTTATCTCTCCTAGTTCTCCCTCCCGGCTTGTTTCCCTCTTCGCTAAGAGACGCTTTCACATCGGACCAAAATAACAGCAAGGTCAGGTTTTTCCACAGAAGCGGGTAAGATGCCAATGAAAAGGAACTGAACACAGCCAGGAGGTCTGCTGAGGCAGCACAAGGGCTTGCTGACAGCCAGAGTGTGCCTTCAGAGACACTTCGTTTCTCATCGCTCCAGCTCACAAATGAAGAAGGGCACTGTGGAAGGGCATCCTTTGCATGCAGAAAATCCTGGGTTCAGTCCCCGTGGGGACAGGCAGTGGGGAAGGTAGGGAGGTCAACAGCAGATGGAGACAGGGCCAATAATAAGCAGAGCCAACTCTCCTGCCTGCTGAGTTCTGCAAAAGCAGCAGTGAGGTTAAGGAGGAAGAAGCTGACAGCCAAAGCCACTCTTTGGACTGGTTGTAAATAAGAAGGCAGGTGGATGAGGCAGAATGAGATGGATGAGGAAGAGCTCCTTTTGTCCTAATGGATGAGGTTCCCTTGCTACGCTACCTGAGGGGAACTTCTCCTATTTTTCAGGAAGTTTGTTGCAAGGCCAACTGCATATACTGTGATCACACAGCAAACGAGTTCCATGGTCCTTAACAGCTACAGGTCTCTCTCTTCCCAGCCTTTGTAATGACACGTCTTTCTGCTTGCATTTGGTCAGAGAGGGCCTGAAAGCGGGATTTGAGCTGGAGTTTGGGAAATTGGGAATAATCTTGGGCCAGGCCTGTAGCCGTTCCACCCCACCCCCTCACCCCAAAAACCTGCTGCAGAGTTAATGATTGTGCTGTCTGTATTATTATTATTATTATTATTATTATTATTATTATTTGTATTCATCTGAAAATCACACGGTGGTTCACAGCATGAAAATACAATATGGATGGTAGACTACCGAAAACCTTTTTTGAGATGACAGACAACTTGGACTTAGTTGATATCTGGAGAACAAAGAATCCCCTGGCCAGAGAGGGAACCTTCTTTTCTGAAGCCAAACTGACATGGAAAAGAATTGACCAAATATGGCTAACTAGAGGAATGGCACCAAAGACAAGAAAAGTGGAAATCTGCCCAAAAACCTGCTCCGACCATAATGCTGTTAAGATGGAGATGAAGCTAACACCAACCGGCTCCTTCAGATGGAGGATGAATGATGCCTTATTTAGAGATGAAGAAGTCATTAAGAAGGCCCAAAAAACCTTGAGAGACTATTTTGAGATAAATATGAACACCAATGTTGAAAAAAGAGTAATCTGGGACGCAAGCAAAGCTGTTATGAGAGGGTTCTTGATACAACAGAATGCATTAAAGAAGAGAATCCAAAATGAGAAGAAGGATAAAATATTGGAGAAAATAAAGGAAAGTGAAAAGAAATTGAGAGCAAAACCAAAGTCGCAAGAGATTTTGAGAGAAATAAAGTTATATCAAGTACAATACATGAAAATGATGAATCAGGAGATAGAATGGAAAATTAAACAAATGAGACAAAAGACATTTGAGTCGGCTAATAAATGTGGGAAATTGTTGGCTTGGCAAATGAAAAAAGACAAAAACTAAATACTGTCACAAATTTAGAAGTGGAAGGAAGGAATATACAGAACCCAGCTGAGATTAGAAATTGTTTCCAGAGGTATTTTAAACAACTATATACACAAGGGCCACAGAAAGAAATTGATGTAGACCGATTTTTGAAAACAAATGGATTACAAAAAAATCTCTCAAGAAAATAAATTAATGCTGAACTATAAAATAACTGAACAGGAGGTAGAAGGTGCCATTCAGAATATGCAACTAGGTAAATCTCCAGGACCGGATGGACTGACTTCTAGATACTACAGATCCTTGAAGGAATGGCTAGTACAACCTTTAAAGGAAGTCTGTAACAAAATAATGGGTGGGGAAAGGGCACCAGAGTCGTGGAAAGAAGCATATATTACACTTGTACCGAAAATAGAGACTGAAAAGACCCAGCTTAAGAACTACCGCCCCATATCACTGCTCAATGTGGATTACAAAATCTTTGCAGACATTTTGGCTAAAAGACTAAAAAAAGTCCTAATGGAAGAGATACATAAAGATCAAGCAGGCTTTCTCCCGGGTAGACATTTGTCTGACAATGTGAGAAACATAATCAATATTTTAGAAAAACTACAAGTGAATATAAATACCAAGGCAGTTTTGATATTTGTGGACGCGGAGAAAGCCTTTGACAATATTTCTTGGAGTTTCATGAAGAAGAACCTACAGGGGATGGGGGTAGGCCAAGGCTTTGAAAACGGTATAAGTGCAATTTATTCAGAACAAAAGGCTAAATTAATTGTAAATAACGTGATGACGGAGGAATTTAAGACAGAAAAAGGGACACGACAAGGTTGCCCAATCTCCCCATTGCTATTTATATCGGTCCTGGAGGTCCTGCTGAATATGATTAGAAGGGACCAATTGGTTAAAGGTATACAAGTTGGAGCTAAACAGTACAAATTGAGAGCATTTGCAGATGACTTAGCATTGACATTGCAGGAGCCAGAATCTAGTACTAAAAGGGTTTTGGAACTGATTCAAGAATTTGGTCAGGTTGCAGGATTTAAATTGAATAAGTTAAAAACAAAGGTCTTAGAGAAAACTTAACTGTGATTGAGAAAGAGAGGTTTCAGAATGAGACAGGTTTAACAGTGGTTAAGAAAGTGAAATACCTGGGGATTAACATGACAGCAAAAATGGGAATCTATTTAAAGACAATTATGAAAAATGCTGGGCTGAAGTGAAAAAAGACTTAGAAATTTGGTCAAATTTGAAGCTTTCACTGCTAGGCCGTATTGCTGCGATAAAAATGAATGTATTGCCTAGAATGTTATTTCTCTTTCAAACATTGCAAATTTTGGACAAAATGGATTGCTTCAAGAGGTGGCAGAGAGATATCTCTAGATTTGTCTGGCAGGGCAAGAAGCCTAGAATAAAATTTAAAATACTAACGGATGCAAAGGAAAGAGGTGGATTTGCCCTGCCAGACCTTAAACTTTATTATGAATCAGCAGCTTTTTGCTGGCTGAAAGAATGGCTGCTTCTTGAAAACACAGACATTTTGGACTTAGAAGGTTTTAATAATGTATTTGGATGGCATGCATATTTGTGGTATGATAAGGTCAAAGCACATAAAGCATTTAAAAATCATATTGTCAGGAAAGCATTGTTTAATGTCTGGATAAGATATAAAGACCTACTGGTCCTGGAGATTTACCTAATTGCATATTCTGAATGGCGCCTTCTACCTCCTGTTCAGTTATTTTATAGTTCAGCATTAATTTATTTTCTTGAGAGATTTTTTGTAATCCATTTGTTTTCAAAAATCGGTCCACATCAATTTCTTTCTGTGGGCATTACAGTGGTACCTCTACTTACGGTCACCTTCGGTTACATATCCTTCGGGATACGTATGCGGCAAACCCAGAAGTACTTTTCCGGGTTTCGCCACCCGCGCATGCGCAGAAGCGATCCCTCCGGTTGCGGAAACCTTGGGATCCGAACGGAGGTCCAGAACGGATCCCATCCGCAACCAGAGGTACCACTGTACTGCCATTCTAGGAGAACAAGGGGAAAGTTCATGGTGAGCTCTGGCACCTCTTTTTCTAGAAAAATAGCATGGGGATTTTAGCTGGGCAAAACTGAGATTAAGGCGGAGGAGGCAGACAGGCAGAGCCAGGTGGGTGAGGGCTGGCAGAGGGCACAGTCTTAGCAGACTAGTCCATACATATGTAGCAAGTTGCTAACCCTTCCCAAACATGCCTCCTCCACGGCTTCTTTTATATGGTAAGAAAGGTAAATTGTTTTATGTAAGTTCTTCTGTCAGCAATCTCGCTCAGTGCCTCACCCACAATTAGGTGGGGCCCGCCTTATTAAGTCCTGTTTTTCCAGAAGGAAGAAGTGGAATCAAACAGAGAGGAAGGAGACTGGACTCGGCAGAAACTACATGAAAATGGGGCAGAAGCCTGGAGTTGCGTCCAACATTAGTCATACTCGGAGAAGACCCATTGGAATCAATGGGCATGGCCAATTTAGCTCCAGTAATTTTTTAGCAGCTCTGCTTAATTGGATACAATCCCTGGGTGCCAGAAGCCCTCGCAGGGTGTTCCCACATTACAATCTGTGCACCTGGATACATAAATAGTTATTGCTATTAATAATAATAATAATAATTTATTTAAAGTTTTCTAAACCACCATCTCAATATGATTTACATACGAGACAATTAAAAGCAGTTAGAAACACTGGTTTAGTTGAGATTCGTGCGTTGTAAGGGGTTGGGCTGGATGACCCTCGGGATCCCTTCAATTCTACGATTCTATTAAATACATTTAAAACAAGACTACAGCCCTAACAATTGGGCAATCATGGTAAGGACCCATTTATCCAGTTGAGAAAGCCTGTCTTAGCAAAACTGTTTTTAATAGTTTCTGGAAAATGCAGATAGCAGCCACCTGTTGTTATCTCAGCAGGAACGCTGTAAAGTGGAACATTGGTTTTTGAACATAATCCATTCCGGAAGAACTTTCGACTTCCGAAACGTTTGAAAACCAAGGATCAAAGGACTGTTGGCAAATTCAATTGAAAAAAATTGAGAAACGCGCCTTGGAAGCCGTTCAACTTCCAAAGCATGTTCGAAAAAGGAAGCATTCAATTCCGGGATTTTGACGTTTGGCTTCTAAAATGTTTGACAGCCAAGACGTTTTAAAACCAAGGCCCCACTGTACCACAGAACAGGGGCGGCCACAGTAAAAGCCCTGCTCTGAGTCACTGTGGAGCGGCCTTGCAATTTCCAATTTGCAGGGTGTATAAGGCAGTCTTTCAAGCAACCTCGTCCTGAGCTGAATAGGAACTTGTATGTCAGCTGAACTAGACACACTTGTACAGTTTTTCACATGTGTTCCTCCACATGCTCCTTCTTAGCTCATCTTTCTCCTCCCTCTCTTTCCTCAGTGGCAAGATACCACAACTCTAAAGCTGCAACAGCATCCTTTGCATGTGACTATGGCTCGGAAGCATCTTTGGCCAACTCTGATTCGATCTACATGCTGACAGAGCGTTTTGTTATGAAGGATTAAAACTGGCCCCATGCTGTTTGCATGCGTGGCAAAGGTATAAATCCCTCTGCTTAAGAAACAAGGGGAGGTGGTGTTTGTAGGTGAATGTTTAATCTGTGCTGATGGCTTGAGTATAATTATTCTTATGGGATATTGATTTATCCTTTTCTTCACCTCGCTTTTCCGAACAAAGGGCCCTCAAGGCAGCTTAGAAAGGTAGCAACATCATACATACTGTAAACCCTTTTACAAAAGCACAGACACCAAAATGAAAACAAAGAACAGTTGGCAATGCAGACTATGTGCACGCCATACGTTCAAATTGCATTTAAGGCACATTTTTCCATCAAAGTAACCTGTGAAATGAAGTTTGTCAAGGGTGCTGGGAATTATAGATCTTTGAGCTGGAGCTACAGTTCCCAGGCTTCTTGGCGGAGGGGGAATGTGCTTTAAATGTGCAGCATTGTGCGCAGCCTCAGATAAGGTGGGTTGGCAACTAAACAGGAGGGGGAAAAACAGATTATCTTGCTCCTGAGGCTTGAGTGGCAGGTTGAATTGCAGAAAGAAGGCAAGGCTTTCACAGGATGAAGATTTAGCATTATCGCCTGCTAATGCCTGCAAATTAAGGCTGCAATCCTAACCCCAGTTCCCTGGGAGTAATTCAGTTGGTCTTACTTCTGAGCTTACAAACAATTGCAGCCTTACTGCCTCTAGGCTGTCTGAAGCAGTAAATGACTTGCGTACGGACAGTGCAGAGAAAATAAAAGTAATGAGGCGTCTGTCAGGACAGCAAAAATTACACATCAATAAATAAGGAATATTGTCAGGATTGTGCTGTACACTGCTGAAGAAGGCACCGGAGCAGGGCTAAATGGGAAATCTGGCAATTCTAAGTGTTCTGGTGCGAAAGAGCTTGTGCTAAGCTCTCAAAACCCAGAGGAATAATAATAATTTTTAAATATTTGTTTGTTCATAGTCCACAAGGAAATTGCCTTGCAGACTATTTAAGGAGAGAAAAGGAGTTCATAGCAAACAGGGCCCTTATCCTGCTAGGTTTCTGCCTCATATCTGACAAAGAAGAAGCCTAGAGCCAGGCTTTTGAATTATGGTGCTGGAGGAGACTCTTGAGAATCCCATGGACTGCAAGAAGATCAAACCTATCCATTCTTAAATCAGCCCTGAGTGCTCACTGAAAGGACAGATCCTGAAGCTGAGGCTCCAATACTTTGGCCACCTCATGAGAAAAGAAGACTCCCTGGAAAAGACCCTGAAGTTGGGAAAGATTGAGGGCACAAGGAGAAGGGGACGACAGAGGACGAGATGGTTGGACAGTGTTCTTGAAGGTACCAGAATGAGTTTGACCAAACTGTGGGAGGCAGTGGAAGACAGGAGTGCCTGGCGTGCTCTGGTCCATGGGGTCACGAAGAGTCGGACACGACTAAATGACTATAAACAACAACAACAACAACAACAGAGCCAGACCCTCTAGGTCAGCATTTCCCAAACTCGGGTCTCCAGCTGTTTTTGGACTACAATTCCCATCATCCATGACCACTGGTCTTGCTAACTAGGGATGGTGGGAGTTATAGTCCAAAAACAGCTGGAGACCCGAGTTTGGGAAACACTACTGTAGGTGAATATCTCAAAATCTAGAAGGGTTCAAGTAAAAAAAGAAAGAAATCCTAACAAATACTCTTAAAACACACACAAACACACACTCTTTGTCATAACTGCAATAAAAACTGCTTCGCCCCCTTCCCTCTCCAACCCATTTTCCTTTCGTCACTTATCTTTCAGATGGCAAGCTTGTGAGCAGGCACCATGGTATTTTAAGCAGTCACATGAAACCCATTTTGGAAGGCTTTTAAAACTGAAAAGCAGGTTTAAAATAAAATAATAATAATAATAATGCTCTAAATAAATAAACATATCCCAAAAGGGTTCTCCTTGCCTTCTCCTGGAGTCTTAAACGGCACCCCTTGGACTCCCTTAGCCCTTGGAAGAAGGAAAACCCACCATCCAACCTCCCAGTTTATTCTGCCAAACCCGCAGAGAACGAGTGTTACGTGTGCTTGCTTTTGCTTTGGCTGTTGCTTGACAGAAGACAGCTTGGTCAATTAATCATGCGTCTTGTTGAATGGGGTCCTCACTCATTAAATCTGCATGCATTTGCATATCAACTAACACAGCCGTCCGGATTTTCCTTTTTTAAACACTTCCCTGTTTACCAGCGGTGCATCCATCTATCTGTGTGTCACGGCACATCAAGCGTCAGAAAGGATTTCCTTCTGTGTAAGAGAGAAACTTGCCTGCAATGCATGGAATTGTGGAACTAAAAGGGACCTGTCTGTGGTCTTCCCATTGGCATCTAGCTGGTCACTGTGAGAATAGGCTGCTGGACTAAATGGGCCATTGACTTGATCCTGCAAACTCATCTTATGTTCTTTTGTAGGTCCCACTAGGGAGATCCTAGCTGATTAAGAACATAATAGCCCTGGCTTGGGTGGCCAATGGCTCCTCTATCTAGCTTCCTGTGCTCACAGTGGCCACTCAGATGCCTGTAGCAAACCCTCAAGCAGGACTTGAGCACAACAGCATCTCTCCCCTCTTGTGGTTTCCAGCAGCTAGCATTCAGAAGCACGACTGCCTTCGGTTGTGGAGGCATTGCACTGTCATCGTGGCTAGTAGCCACTGATAAGCCTTCTCCTCCATGAATCCGTCTAGTCTTCTTTCAAAGCCATCAGAGCGATTTCCATGTTTAACTGTGTACCGTGTGCTTTCGTCATTGCAAGGCCCCCCACTCCTGGGGAAAATGGGACATTGCTTTCTCCCACTTGCCATTTCCAGCAACTGGCATTCAGTGCCATGTTGCCTTTGACAGCAGAGGTGGGTCAGAGCCGATGGCCGCATTCCTAGACCCTCCAAGCATCCCTATTTTCCAGGAACAGTCCCGGATTTACAGAAGCCATCCTGGTTTCTGTTTGATTCTGGAATGTCCCTCTTTTCCTTAGAATATCCCTGTTTTCATCAGAGAAAAGCTGGAGGGTATGGAGTTATGAGACCCTCCCAAGTCCAGGAGATAACTAACTATACAACCTTTAGAAGACAGCTGAAGGCAGCCCTGCTATAGGGAGGTTTTCCGATGTTTAATATTTTATTATGTTTTTATATATGTTGGAAGCCGCCCAGAGTGGCTAGGGCAACCCAGTCAGATGAGCAGGGTATAAAATAATAGTTGTTGTTGTTGAATAGGACGTCCCTATTTTCATCGGAGAAATGTTGGAGGCTGTGCATTCCCCTTGTAGGGGGCTGCATGTCAACTGTGGACAGGGCCAAAGCCAGTGGAGGCAGGGGTACCCCTTTTGCCACCCCTTCTCTCTCACCCCTCCGCATCCAGTGAATGTCCAGGGGAAGGCCAGATTGCACTTGTCAGAGGTCTGAGCTGACCACTTGCAAAGAAGCTTCCAAAATCAGACCGAGGGCCATATAACATTTGGGCATGGGCTGCCCACGCCTGCCATAAACTAACAGTGGAGTACAACATAAGGGTTTGGCTGCACTGACCTGATTTTTGCTGTGTATTTAAAGTACATCCCCCCACCCCATTAAAGAATCCTTGAAACTGTAGCTTGTTGTGGGTGCTGGGAATTATAGCACTGCAGAGAGTACACTACAGCTCCCAGGACTCTCTGCCAAGTGCAGGAAGTGGTGCAAGTAGTGCAGGGGTCAGCAAACTTTTTCAGCAGGGGGACAGTCCACTGTCCCTCAGACCTTGTGGGGGGCTGGACTATATTTTGGGGGAGGGAAATGAACGAATTCCTATGCCCCACAAATAACCCAGAGATGCATTTTAAATAAAAGCACACATTCTACTCATGTAAAAACACGCTGATTCCCAGACCGTCTGCAGGCCAGATTTAGAAGGTGATTGGGCCGGATCCAGCCTTAGTTTGCCTACCCATGGTATAGTGTGTACACTGCACCAGACAAGCAGGAAAGATCCTATTCTGGTTCACGTCCAACCCCACTTCCTTATGGCGCAACACCGGTGACCTTTTCCCTGTACCTGGCACGCTCTTGATCTTCAACCCCTCCAAAATTAACCCCTATCTGCACCACCCAAGTGATACAAACACACACCAGGTCCTAACGTTTCCAGGAAAAGCACTCCCACTCGCTTCTAAAAACAATCCCTTTCCACAACCCATATTTTGAGACCCTTCTTGCGTACCATAGAACTGACACGCTTAACCTCTGCACACACACACCCCAATTCCTATATGGAATTCCCCCCCCATGGTGTTTGCAAATCTCACAAACAATCCGTGCACCAATGGAAAGTTTTATCACAGTTCAAAAAGAAAGAAAAAAGTTGGCTTCCACCAGCTTCCCACCATTTCAGATTCTTTCAGTCTGTCCTGAAAGTCATTTTAGCCTTTATTTGATAAGATTCCAAACATTGGAGGGGGGGACTAGCCCCCTATTGCTTGCCCTTTCCTGCCCCTCTCCCCAAATTTAAACTTGACTACAGGGGAGCAGGCAAAATGCCTCCATTTGGAGAGAAAACAAAGCCAGAAAAACGACAATAACAAGCACATTGCTCCCTATTCCTCCCCAGGGGAAAAAAAAGCCACACAACCTTCCCCACTAATCCAAGGTCAACACTTCTTGACACTCACTTTCCTCTGGGCTTTGTCACTCCGGGGGTGTAGGGAGGGGGGATCTGTCCCAAAGCAAAACCTTCAGTTTCTTGGGGTGGAGGGCAGGGGGTGACCCCGGCGCCTGGGTCTTCAGTCAATCCCAGGAAAAGAGACCACAGATAAGTGAAAAACAAGATCCCAAGTTTGAGGGCGCCCGCAGTCCAAGCAGATGCTGTCCCTTGTGATTCCAGATAGGGAAAAATGATGGTGACGAAGATGATGATGGGTGTCTCTCCCAGGTTGTCCTAATGTCCTTCCTGGTTCCCTGAGTGTCCCTCCCTTGCTCCGCCCCCATCCTGGATCGTTCCCTTGCCTATGTCACCCAGCGCCTGGCTTCCTCTCCGCACCACCCTGGCTCCTTGCTAACTCTAACAGCTAGCTGCCTATCACTCACCTGGATTGACGGGGAGGCTTTCCCCCGATGCTCTCGGGCTATTGGACAGAGAGGACCCCCTCCGGCTCCAAGGTGCGCGCGGGCGCGCAGACCCCTCGTGCGCTGAGCTGCCGGAACGGCTTCTTCTGCTGACTTTCCGCTTGCACTGTCGAGCCTGCAAGCGGTTCTCCTCCTGCCTTCCTGGTGTTCAAACAAGTTTTACAACCCTGCTCGCTGGCTTTGGCTTTTGCTTTGGAAAAACAAAAGCTGTGACATCAGAGGCCGAAAGAAGCGGGGCGGTTGGGGGGGGCACCCGGTCTGCAGGGAACCAGCTTTGAGATAGTGAAACCAGGAAAATCCCACGAGTGCAGAAGTTTGAAGCTTTCCCAGCTGAGAGCAGCTGCCCCTTTTATTATTACTAATGTCAGTGGGGGTTTTTTTTCTGGGAGAAATGGTGGGGGAACTCACCAGAAGTTAGTTAGTTAGTTAGTTAGTTAGTTAGTTAGTTAGTTAGTTCGTTTGTTGCAGGGGGGGCACACACACCCCATAGTGGCTAAGTGTAAAATGTGATTAATAAACTCAAGCAGACAATGATCTGGATTAGAAATGGCCGCAACTTTATTGATTACAGATATAGGTGGATTTTTGGTTCAGGCATTGGGTTCCAGCCCCAGCAGACAAAAGATAATTATTATTTATATTTTAAAAGGTAAGGGAACTCAGTTCCCCTGAGTTCTGCTAAAAACAACAACAACCCCTGACTATTATTATTAACAGCAGCAGCAGAATTTTAATAAAATCTACTATTCTTTTGCTCCTTCCCAGCTGTGCCAAAACCCTTTTATTTCTTGGTTGTTTTCTTTTTATATATATGATCGGTTTTTAATTAAAAGTTTCAGAATACAATAAAAGCAAAACAGAGAGTAAGAATTGGAAAGAAAGAGCATGGAAAAGAAAATGAAGAAGAAGAAGAGAAGTAAAATACAAAACCCTCTATGAAGATTGTATCTTTACTCTTCATCCACACAAAGGGAGGCAGGCCATCCCAGCTCACATCTGGGCACTTCCCCCCTCTTACCGCAGCCTCCCACCCTGGAAGATTCTCTCTGCCCTGCTTCTCACACAGGGCCTTTCATAATATCTACCATTCTATGATTCTATAACTTGATTGGCAGGCAGACGTTCAGCAGGTGAAGCTTCTCTTGTAGTGCAGTGGTGGAACATGTCATTGGTATGCCCAAGGCTCGCAGATTTATCTCCAGAATCTCCAGCACAAAGATTTAGCAGCAGCTGTCCGTTAATACACTGCTTGGCAGGAAGACGTTCAACAGGTTAAGCTGGTTTGTTTTGTTTTTGCAGGAAGAGACTGTGGTTGAATGGCAGTGCAAGTCTTTTGTGCCCAAGTCTCCCAAATTGAATCCCTGGCTTAAAGACCATTACTTCAGAGAGTTGAGGGTTAGATTGCAGGGACAGATGACGTAATGCACTCTGGACATTGATGGACTCCAGCTCCCATCAGCCCCAGCCAGGATGGTTGTAGTCCAACAAAAGTCTGGAGGGCACCAGGTTGGCTATCCCTGCCGGGAGAGTTCCCAACCGTCTGCTAGAGACAGAGACCAACAGTCTGCCTGACGCTATGGCAGCTTCGTAAGTTCAAAACCTTTGGAGTACCTCTCAGTCTTGCCGTTCCCTTCGCTCCACAGTGGTTAATTTCCTAATGAGACAGATGTCAATTATGCCAGGGCAGAAGGTGGTTTGAAAGCAACACCCTCTCATTTACTCACCTGTCCCTCCCCTTCAGATTGCTGCTGGCAGTTTTGCACAGTGATGCACAGGGGAAAGGCACTCTGTCTGTGCTCAGAGACACATTTCAGTCATTATGTCTTACTGATCATTTACACCCATGAAAGCCTGCTTTGGTGTGATGCCAGCACAGTCCTTAAAATACACAACAACTCATAACCAGCATAGTGTAGCAGACTGAGTATTGGACTATGTTCTGAGAGACCAGGGTTTAAATTCCAGCTCAGACATAAAACTCACTGGGTGACCATGGCCCAGGCACTTTTGTCTCTCGGCTTAACTTACTTCACAGGGTTGTTGTGAGGATAAAAGCAGGTCTTTTTTTCAGCTAGAACTCACCAGAACTCGGTTCCGGCACCTCTCAGGTAGGTGCTATTGCCATTCTAAGAGAACAAAGAAAGTGTTCGTAGTGAGTTCTGGCATCCCTTTTTCTAGAAAAATAGCACCGGAACCAAGTCTGCCGTCTTGAGCTCCATGGAGGAAAGGCAGGGATGCAAATGTAATAAACAAGCAAGCAAACGTTTTGGAGAGGCAGTGTGATGTAGTGGTTAGAGTGTGACCTTGAGCCAGTCACAATGTCTCAGCCTAACCTTCCTCACTGGGCTGTTGCAAGGATATAGCAGGAGGAGAGAAAGAATTTTGTTCACCAGCTTGAGCTCCTTGGAGGAAAGGTGGCATATAAATGCATTAATAAAAAGAAAATTAAAAATTCATCCTGATTTATTTGCAAGGCGATTGGACAATGTGGTCTATTTAATGAGCTGGTTTGTTTGCAAATGGCAGAACTGCACATGGCCCATCTAATCCAGCCAGTTCCCTGTGAGAAACCTGTAAGCAGGACTTGAACACAAGAGCACTCTTCCCCCTCTGTGGTTCCTGGCAACTAGTATTCAGAAGCGTTACAGCCTCCCACTGTTTGAAAACCTTGCCTGGACTCTACCACTTCAGACTAGATCATATGGCGGGGGAGTGGCATGTTGGAATTGCTCATCTATAGGGTGGAGGGCAGAAAACATACATAGAAAACTTGCGTGCTGTTAGGCTTGTCCTTGACATTTTGGTTTTCCAGATGGATGATTTTTTTGTGTTTTTTTTTAAAGAGAATAATAATTTTTAAAATGAGGGAGTATTCAAATATGCAACTCCCCGCCACCCAAAGTAGTACAATCCAGGAAGTGCTGAACCACTTGATTCTGTTGATGGCAGAATTGGTAGCCTATTGGCTGAGTCTTGCAGCCTGTGGGAAATCGAGTTGATAAACCTCAGTGCCATAAATGTCTGTCGGTTTCCTGAAGTGGGTTTTCTGTGTGTGTACATTTTCAAGCTGTCTTCTTTCATTATATAACTCTTCTGCCAGAAGCTATATAGGCTGAAATAATATTTGTTCTTAGGCTTGGCACTTGGGAAGATTGACATGCAGGGATGGGAAATCTGCAGTCCTCCATACATTTGCTGGACTACAGCTCCCATCATCCCTGGCCATTGGCCATGCTGCCTGGGGGCTGATGGGAATTGGAGTCCAGCAGCAGCTGCAGGGTCACAGGTTCCCCACCCCTATTCTCAGGGAGAGGGCAGAGAGTAGAGTTTATTGGCACCCCACATTTAAAGCGCTATGTTCCACTTAGACCAGTCATGGGTTTCCCTCAAAGAATTCTGGGAGCTGTCATTTGTTAAGGGTGCTGAGACTTCTTGTAGCTCTGCAAGGCTCCTATTCCCCTTGCAGAGCTACAATTCCAGAGTCCTTTAACAATGCATCCCTCTTTACAGGAAATCTGCGAACTGTAGCTCTGTCTGGGGAGTAGGGACCTTTAGAGCAAATCTGTGGACAGTGATGCAGGTAGCTTAGTGGTAGAGTGCATGTTTTTGCATACAGAAGGTCCCATGTTCGATCCCTGGCATCTCCAGTTAGATGGATTCAGTAAAAACAGGGAACAGAGGCACTGTGGCTCTCCAGAACTTAGAATCAGAATTGCAGAATTGGAAGGGACCCCAAGGGTCATCTAGATTCTAGCCCAACTCCCTGCAATGCAGGAATCTCAGCTAAAGCATCCATGACAGATGGCCATCCAATCTCTGCTTAAAAACCTCTGAACCTCAGAGTCGTGTAGTGATTTCATGCTCTTTATTGCAGCTTGCAAAACAGTGATTGAATTGCCTCCGAACCTCAGGCTTTTATACACATTATTTACACATTGAGTCCCGTCTGATTGGCTGATTCTGCTTCCCTCCTGGAGCCTGATTGGTCTTTTCCTGCAGGCCAATCAGTTGTTGCATTCTACGATCCTACTTGCCTATTGTTCTAGGATCCAAGCTTAGTACATAACAACCTCCAAGGAAGGAGAGTCCACCACCTCCCGAGAGAGACTGTTCCACTGCTGAACAGATCTTACCTGTTGGATCTTGCTGGACTGCAGCTTTCATTATCCCTTACTTTTGGTCATGCACACTGAAGCTGATGGGAATTAGGACTCCAGAGACACCTGCAGAGTCACAGGTTCCCCAACCGTGTGGTACAGGCAGGTGATGAGAAAGACCTCTATTGAAAAGTCACTGCCTGTCAGTGTGTTAGGCAGTCCTGGACCAGATGAACAAGTCATCTGACTTAGTGCTTCCTGTGTTCTTTGCAGACTCACTGGGATAATATCAGAGTCTTGTTTGTTGTCCTTTCATGTTCTGTTATCTTTGTTCTCACAGCACGGTCCATGGCTAAAACCAAAACACTGGCTGGTCAGAAAAACAGATCTGGGGCCTAAGGGCCATCGCACCTGAGAAAATGTCAATAAAAGCAGGTATTCTGCTGATACAGAGAGATGGCCTGTGGGACACACACAAACACACAAAGAGGGAGAGCACTCCGCCCTGTCTGCCTCCAACCCAGAAATAATACCTGAACAAAAACAGCCACTCCTCTCTGTCACAACAATGCATTGCACCGCTCAAGAAGCACAATGTCTTTGCAGACAGAGAAATCCTTCCGGCAGAGATGGAATGCTGGGTGGCACTCCCAGCAGTCAGGGAAACCGGAACTGTCACAGCACCCGTGAATAGCTCTAGGTCCCTGTGTTGTTTTGTGGCGCATGTTGGTGCTTGCAAACTGTGCTGCGGGGAACCCTAGAGAGGTTCCTTAGAGTTTTATCTGAGAGTTCCTCAGTCACTGGGTGGGACATGGCAAACAAGCTTCTCTGGAAAAGCATTGACATGCCCCCCAACCACCCACCCTATTAACCAGCATAATCAAGAGGTTAGGGCATCAAGCTAGGAAGGAAGAGGTGTGAGAAACAGCAAGCCAACCCATGCAAATTGTTTAATGGAGGGAGGGGAGGCGCTTCACACAGCAGTTTAGCAAACCGCTCTGTCAAGTGCCTCCTCACTTCTTTAAAAGGGGCGGGGCTAGGGATGAGAGGGGAGGGGCTTGGGGAAAGTTGTGGGGAGAGAGGCGAGGGGTGTAAAGAGGGGGGTAAGTGGGGCAGACAGCAAAGGGGTAAGTGCACTAATCGAGCAGGAGTAGCAGCCCCAAGTTATTAAAAAGAAATTTGATGGGTTGTTTGCAACTGTAGTCATACCTAGAGCAGACCATCTGAAAGTATTGGAGATGACTAGCATTTGATTCAATGTGTCTACCCTGAGGACAACTTAGTTGCCTGCAGCCCATTAGAACTATTTAATGCATTTTAAAATGTTTCTTCTGCTTGTGTGTTGTAGGGTTTCTGTACTGACTTTTCCCTAAGTGGTTCCTTAACCTCTTCATTGCCCACTCCTCCAAAATTTCTAGCTGTAATAATAATTTATTTCTTTTTTATACCCCACCCATTTGGCTGGGTTTCCCCAGCCACTCTGCGTGGCTCCCAACAGAACTAATGAAAAAACATTGGCCATTAAAAACTTCCCTGCAGATGTCTTCTAAAAGTCAGATAGTTGTTTGTTTCCTTGACATCTGATGGGAGGGTGTTCCACAGGGCGGGCGCCACTACCGATAAGGCCCTCTGCCTAGTTCCCTGTAACCTCACTTCTTGCAGTGAGGGAGCCGCCAGAAGGCCCTCAGAGCTGGACCTCAGTGTCCGGGCTAAACGATGGGGGTGGAGACAGTCCTTCAGGTATACAGGACCGAGGCTGTTTAGGGCTTTAAAGGTCAGCACCAGCACTTTGAATTGTGCTTGGAAATGTACCAGGAGCCAATGTACTGGTAGGTCTCTCAGGACCGGTGTTATATGGTCTCGGTGACCACTCCCAGTCACCAGTCTAGCTGCCACATTCTGGATTGGTTGTAGTTTCCGGCTCACCTTTGAAGGTAGCCCCACGTAGAGTGCATTGCAGTAAGCGTGCTGGCAAACAGGATCAGCCAGGACACGAAAACAAGTGCTCAAAATCACAACAGGTACATGCAGGCGGAGACTTGCTTCCTTTTCCTCTCCATCCCACCCAAAAGCCTCACTGTGGGTTATCTCAACTCCACCATTTCCTGTCTCCTTGGAATATTTTGTCAGGAAGTTTGAATTTTAATTCCCCGCTGGGGCTGACCCCCAAAGAGCGGATCAGCCCAGACATTCCCTGCCCTTCTAAACTAACTCTGTCCCCACCCATGGTGCATTACAGTCAATGTTTCTCAAACTACTCTTCCTTGGGTCATCCCCGTGGTCCCTCCTTACCCCAGAAGTCCCAGGATGTAATAATTCCATCTGAAGATGGTGAGAGCAGTTTGACAATGGGACTCATTAGCTACAGGGCTGATGGGCTCTCCCTTGCTGGAAGCCTACAGACACAGGGAGGGCAGCCGTCTGTTGTGGGTTCTCTAGCTCAGGATCTCGTGCATCGAGCATGGACATTGGACCAGAGAGTCTACAAGATCTCCTCCAAGCCCGTGACTCTGTGATTCATGTAACATTGGCAGCTGCATTTATTAATAATATCAAAATTTTATTAAGAGAGTTTTAGTTTTAGAAAATAAAGTGGCGAAAGAAAAAAGGAAAAAAGAGGGAGAAGAAAAGTGAAAAAAAAAGAAATATCTAATATGCAGCAATAACTATAATCAGTTGCATTTCCATAGAGAATTATATAGATAGATGAATAATATTACTGTCCTAATACACATATGATTATTAATAATCTAGTATATTCTGTATAAACTCATTCCAAATGTCAATATATTTATCCGGAAAAGCCTATAAGCAGGCTGCACGGATGTTACTGGCCCAGAGATGGAAAGAAGATAAAGTCCCTACCAGAGAAGAATGGCAGATGAAGCTAATGGACTATGCTGAAATGGCCAAAATGACTGGAAGAGTTAGAAATCAGGAAGACCAAAATTTTAATAAGGAATGTGAAAAATTTATTACTTACCTCAAATACCATTGTAAACAGCTAAAATCGTTAGTAGGATTGGAATATCACTTGTAGTTTAAGGTTGAATTCAGGACATAATGGAAGAGGCAAAGGATTTGGAGTATCATAAAAGACGCGGGAGGAAATGTTTAATAATAGGACCCACAAAGGGAAGGATAGAAGTCCAAGAGATTCCTTGGAATCTTGTTTTTATGATTTATGTTTGATATACCTCTGTAAAGTTTTAATTTGAAAAACCAAATAAATAAATTTTCAGAAAAGTCTGTAAGCGATCCGTTCACATGGTGCAGGTGTTGTCATGCCGTCAGTTCATTGATTAACGGAGATCAAATCTTTATTCTTCCAATTCATCAATTCCAGTCTCTTGGCCACAGTTAGGGCGTGTATTATACTGAGTCAGACTGTTGGGTCCATCTAGTGATGCCTACACTGACTGGCAGAAACTCTCCAGGGTTCCAGGCTGGGACTCTCTCCCAGTCCTGCTTCCGAGGTGCCATCGGGGATTGAGCCCAGGATCTCCGAATGCAAAGCAGATGCCTTTCTGCTGAGCGACGGCCCTTTCCCAATCCATGGAAGTCCTGGAGGCGACACGGCAATCAGGGTCGTGACCCCACTGCTCCCGTTCAACCATCCCAGTGGCAATGTGACTCACAGTCTGCAGAGCCCTGAGCCGCCCTTCGACTGAATGTTTGTGAGCCGATTGCCAATACGATACCCAGCAATGCTTTCAAATGCTTACCGCACCCCAGAAAGTTCACCGAGGGCATGATGGTGACATCTGTCTCCTGCTGTCTCTCTCCACGATGCGTGAGGAACAGGAAAATGTCTGGTCCTCTGTGGTATACTACCCCTGAACATGGAAGCTCCATTCCTAGCTGAAATATACTCAGAGTTGAGAGTGGATTTCATGCTCTTTATTCAGCTCATAGTGGTGAGGAGGAATGGAAGTTCCCCCACAATATCTGCTTTATATACATTATTTACACAATGGGCTGCATGTGATTGGCTAATTCTGGGATTCTCCTGTAGGCCAATCAGGTTGTGGATTCACTTCCACCTGGAGCTGGATTGGGTGGCTCCTGAGGACCAATCATACTGCTGCATTGTTCTAGGACCAATCAGACTGCTGCATTCTGAATCCTATTGTTCTAGGACCAGTCAGACTGCTGCATTTTGGATCCTATTGTTCTAGGACCAATCAGACTGCTGCATTTTGGATCCTATTCAACTCAGTACATAACACTAGCCATCACAGTAAAAGGATTGCTGGGGGGGGGGGGGGAGAAAGCTAAATTTCTCTAACCTGGGGGTAGAGGAACTAAGGCCCTCCAAACTATCGACTAGCCATGATGAATATGTTCCACGGTGTCAGAAGTATTATGCCTCTCCATACCAGTTGCAGAGAATCACTGATGGGCAGACTGCTGTTGCTCTCAAGTCCAGCCTGTAGGCTTCCCATAGGCACCTGGTTGGCCAAGGTGAGAACAGGATGCTGGACCAGGTGGGCCATTGGCCTGATTTAGCAAGACCATCTTATGTTCTTACGTTGTTGGACTTCATCAGC